GATGTGTGAGAGGGGTCTGGAGATCAATGACAGGTTCAGGGGTCACAGCAGCACCTGGAGGCCACCATCAGATTCAACTGTGTCAGAGAACTTTCCCTTGCACAGGCTCCAAAGCTTCCAGTGACATTTTGTGACATTTTGTGGCTGTGTCCACCCCCACCAGACCAGCTGAGTCCCCAGGCCATGGGAGAGGTAGAATTGATTCAACCCATGCTCCAAGAGAATTGGTCATATAATGTGTGTTTTGGGGTCCTGCCTGTAGACCTTGTGGAATATCATTCCACTCCAAGGACAGAACTAGGGAGTGTGGAAGGAAGATGAAGCTCAGGAAGCACCACCATCCCAATGGGTGGGAGGAGGAAGAGGAGGAATGGTCTCTGTCAGCAGCAGGTGTGGATGATGCAGTTGCCATAAGTTGTGCAAATCTGGCTCTACCTGTCCCAGCTGGAGCTGAGGCAGCCCTGGATGGAACAGGGAGGGAGCGGGAGGCACCACATTCCCAGGCAGCTCATCCAGGTCATGGGGCTGGGTGGCAGCAGCTGTTTTATTCAGAGGAGGAGGGTCAACATCCAATAGGGGCCAAGTCCAGCAGGAAAAGTGCTCAGATGTCAGCTCAACCTGTCCAAGCAAAGCTGGGGTGAATATTAATTAGATGGAAGGCCCAAATTTTTCTGCACAGCCATAGATGATGTTCTGGGACACAGATTCCTCTGGATCCCAGCACAAGTCACCCCTGGAGCCTGGCAGTGGATTCACTCACAAGGAATCCAAGGCAGGGTCCAAAGAACAGGAAAGGAGGTGATGGAGTATTCAGGATTAAACATCAGGAGCCTAGTGTGGAAAGCAAAGGGAAGAGTTTCCCTTAGCTAAATTTCTTTGGAAGTTGCACAGCTTTAGGTACCTTTGTCAATGCATGTGCCCACAGGAGTTTTAGACCTCCTCCCAAGCCCAGATACTCCGTCGCTGTCACTGTTTCCATAAGCTGCTGATTTTGGTCTCTCTTGAGGAGGTCAGAGGGTTTTCTAGTGCACATCTGAGCTGGTTTTTAGGCCAGTCGAGTTGAAGGTGACAGAACTGGGGGTGTTGCTGTTTGAAGTGCAGAGAGGGGACCAAAGGATGCTGATCCCCAATTTTAACCTCCTTTAAACTCTCTGCTCCTTAATTCCTTCCCATGTCCCATCCTCAAGATCCCAAAGGACTCCAGCTGCTCAGGAGAAGTGTGCCAGGTAAACCCCAGTCTAGAGGATGCAGAGGGTGGTCTCCTCCCAGGTGATAAACCAGTACTTTTCACAAAAGCAAATATTTCCTGCTCCCCAGCAAGCCCAAACTGGGGGAGTGTCCTCCATGTTTGCACAATGACCCACACAGGGGAAAAAACATGGTGGCTCACGAGGCCCTCCCACCATAAACGTGATTAGTAACAATTAAAAACTCATTCCAGCTCTAATTACAGCCAATAAAATCCCACTTGGGTTAACTTCCTAAGGAGCTCATAAAACACGACACCAATTCAGTTTCTTCCTATGTTCTAATGCAAAAGATCCTGCACGGCCCTGACCCCAGAGGAGCAGTAACTTTTCCCTGCCCTCCAACCCCAACCTGGCTCCCTCTTTTCAGGGAGTTCTGGAGAGTGAGAAGGTCTCCACAAAGCCTCATTTTTTCCAGGCCTCCACATCTCCTTCAGCTGCTCCTCAGGAGCTCTCCAGACCCTTCTCCTTGTGCTCCAGCCCTTCCCCAGTTCTGTTCCTGTCTCTGGACATGCTCCAGCCCCTCAGTGTCTTTTGTGGCATCCCTGGATGGGATCCAGCAGCTCTCTCAGTGCCCCACTGAGCGGGCAAAGGGGATCCCAACCCTTTCATCCCAGCACGATGCACTAGAGCAATTTCCTTCAACTCCCTTTTTCATGAGTGCAGCAGATGGGAATGATAAACCCCGGCATCTCTTGGCTCCTCTCCAGGAAAAACTCAGGGAACTCAGAAAAATCCCGTGTTTTTTGGCAGGATGGCATCAGCACCTTTGGCTCCCAGGGCTTCAACAGGCTGGAGATCTCTGTCCTCTCTGCCACTTTCCCAAGGGTGTTCTCAGGACATTCCTGGGCTTTGAACCACCTGGGTACATTTCTGTCCCTGAACTCTTCCCTGGGATGAGGAAGAAGGAGATGATTTCAGACTCTTCCCTGGGATAAAGAAGAGGGCTATGACTTTTTGGTCTTTCCCATCCCAACTTATGAATTTTAGAATCAGAAATGTTATTTTTGACTCAAACAGCAGGATAAGACACATTGCAGCCTGGTGTAAACATCCTTCAGAAGTCAGGAGGGTGAACTGGAAGGAAATTTGGGGGTAAATAAGAAAAACAGCAGGAAAGTAACACTAGTTCAAATGAAAACAATCATTTCTTCCTTATTTTGCTCATTTAGATGATAAGGACTTGACAATACTGATCTCCATTTCCATATTTTTTTCTGTGCCAGATCAATCATAGAATCATGGAATGGCTGAAGTAGGAAAGGACCTTAAATCCCATCTGGTCCCACCCCCCGTAACACACACACTGCTGAGGAGTCAGGGCTGATTCATCTCTTGCTCCTCCCAGAGCTACAGAAGAATCCAGTCAAGCATTAATCAAATTAATTTGGTTGCAGTAGGATGTAATTTTGAGAGGGCTAATGACTAAGCTGGCTAGGCAACCTGGAGCTCTGATGGCAGTTTCTGGGCTCTGGCTTATTCTTTCATGCTGTTGGTTGTATTTTTTTTTTCTTTGTGAGTAATTTGTGTCCACTCAGAGTTGTCAGACCTTCCCACCGCTCACAGGAGCTGGTGTAAGAGCCCAGCCAGACAGGCAGAGGGTGCTGCTCATCCTTGTGCCAGCCCTGGGGAGGATTTATCCTCCTCACCCTGGCGCCAACCCCCCACTGGAGACTCCTCCATGGCAGGAGTTGGAATGAGATGATCACATGAAGCCCATGCAGTTCCACCCCTGCCATGGGCTGGTGCAGTGTGCCAGGGTGGTAGAAATGCTGCAACCTTCTTTGAGGCCTCTCCTTCAGGAGCTGCTCAGAGAAAGGCCCCAAGAACAGCCATTTCCAGTCCAGGCACACACACACACCTCACAGATAGCTCAGGAGAGGAAAGACAGGAAGGGCCTTTGCACGATGTATTCCAGACAAGGTTTATTACATCCACCACGCCAAAGGGATCAGAGATGAAGACAAAATAGTGTGGGGTCAGTGACCAATGTGGGGTCAGTGACCAATGACCTGAGGGCACAGGAGTGGGCAAAGGGCAGGGTCAAGGGCAGCAACCTGTAGGGCCAATGAGGAATGAATAATTGGAGTGGGCAGTGTCAACTGGCCAATGGGAGAGGCAATCTGATGTAGATTGGCAGTAGTGCTGCAGAGCACCATGGGCTGAGTCCTCTCTTTCAGCCTAAGTGGGGAAAATTCTGTGATCTATTCTTCCAAGGCAAAGCCCTGGGGATTTCCCTGAGTGGGAGGATTCAGAGGATTCCACAATGGGCAGGGACACCTTCCATTAGACCAGGTTGCTCAAAGCTCCCACCCACCTCCAGCCCAAGCCCAAGCCCTAAATGGGAATAATGAATCCTAGTTCTCAGGGTGATGCCCAAGGAAACACCTTGACATTGCCGCAAGATCATCTAAATCAGCTCAGAATAGGATCATGTAAAGGTTTGGGTTGGACAGGATCTTAAAGCTCATGCTGTTCCACCTTCTGCTATGGGCAGTAACACATTCCACTATCCCAGATTGCTCCAAGCCCCATCCAGCCTGGCCTTGGACACTTCCAGGGTTGGGGCAATCTCGTGGAAGTCCATTCCAGTGCCTCACTGCTCTCACAGGGAGGAATTCCTTCCCAACATCTCATCTAACTCTCCTCTTTTCCATTTTGAAGCCATGACCTCTTGTCCCATCACCCCCTTTCCAAGTCCCTCTCCAGCTCTCCTGGAGCCCCTTGGAAGGGGCTCAAAGGTCTCCTTTCTCTTCTCTGCAGGTGAGCACCCCCAGATCTTCCAGCCTGGCCCCAGAGGAGCTCCAGCCCTCGGAGCAGCTCCATGGCCTCCTCTGGACTCTCTCCAGTAGCTCCACATCCTTCCCCAAGGCTGGAGCAGCTCTGCAGGTGGGGTCTCACCTGAGCAGAGCAGAACAGCCCCCCCCCCCTGCTGCTCATGTTGGGGCTTCAGCCCAGGCTCGTGGGTCTCTGGGCTGCGGCAGGTCCAGCTCTCACCCACCAGCACCCCCAAGTCCTTCTCTCAGGCCTGCTCTCAATTCTTTCTCAGTTCAGTTTGTGTTTGCCCTGCAATCACTCTGGCCCAGGGCAAACCCGTGTTTCTCCTCTGCTGGGGAGCATCAAGTGATGAGACAACACAAAAATATCTTCATATCTCTGCATTTTATTGGTACTGAATGACCCTGGGCCAGGGCACCAGCAGGAAGCAGCTGATTCACACGACAGAGGGGGGCAACAGGGCCACACACTCCAGGCAGGAAGGAGAGGAGGGAAAAGGATCCATAAAACATTAAAGCTGTCAAATTACTCCACCTGGGGAAGATGGACAACTCCAGACACCCGTTTCTCACTCCTAAATCTGACTATGGGGCATCATCTCCTTCCTTCTGTTCATGTGGGCTCCTGACACAGCTGGAGCAGGATGAGGGGGACCCATGAGGGGTGCAAGGGAAACACAGGCCTTAAAAAGTGACAGGAAAGAGCGGTTTTCCACAGGCTACTCCCCAGCTGGTGCAGCAGCGCTGGGAGCTCTGCAGGGCTGGGGACCCACAAGGGAGATGATTCACCCCAGTGAGGCTCAGTGAGAGCCAGGCTGGGCCAGAGGGATGTGTCTTGATTTCAATCTCACTTTAGGGAGATTTCCCCCAGAAACAGTTTCTTTCCTCCTGAGTACCGATGGGGATGGAAGGGGCTGTGCTGCTGGCGGGAGGAAGAGGAAGGTGCTGCTTTCCCTGGGAGGATGGAGATAAGGGCTCAGTATTTGACCCCGGAGGATTTGACCGTCGTGGTGGTGACGCATCTCCGCACAGAGGAGGAGCCTCCCCCGGCCATGAAGCTGCCACCTGCAGTGCTGCACATCCTCCCGCTCCCGGAGGAGAAGCCTCCACTGAGGATCCCTCCTCCCACACCACAACTGCCGCCAATGATGTTTCCGCCACCAACCGTGCACACTCCTCCTGCACTCAGGCCATTGCTGGCTCCAAAGCTGCCAGATCTGCCTCCGCACACGGTGGTTCTGCCCACCACAGCTGGAAGAGAGGGAGAGGCTCACTGAACACCAGGCAACATCCTGGGAATCTTTACAAAACCAAGGACAAAGGTAATTCGGCAGAGAAAACAATGTGAGAATACTTACAGACATTCACGTTGGAGGGGTTCTCTAAGCAGAGCCTGTGTTGGGAGAGGAACATCAGTTGTAAATCTGTATACAGTCAGAAGCAAAACTCTTCCCCAAATATTCCATTTATATCGTGTTTCATATAAGATCAATCAAGCCCCCTGAGAAGTATTCCCCATGGGAACCATGTTTCTGTTTTGGCGTTAAAATTGGGAGGAAAAAAGGAAAGTAACCAAGTTTTAATATTAAATGTGTTGTGAGGGATGGGTAAAGATGAATCTGACCCAAGGGGAGACAGAACCCTGGCCCAGCCAATGGTAGGAGGTCTCACCTGTTCTCCTCTCCCTCCAGCAGCTTCCTGTACATGGCAATCTCAACATCCAGTGCGATCTTGATGTTCAGCAGCTCCTGGTACTCCTTCAGCAGGCGAGCCAGCTCCTCCTTGTCCTTGCTCAGAGCACATTCCAGCTCTTCCAGCTTCCTCCTGGCATCCTTGGTGGCCATCTCCCCCCTCTCTTCAGCCTCAGCAATGGCTGACTGCAGATGATGGTTCTGGGGAGAAGAAAGTAAATTTCCTAATTCCCTCTTCCCATCCTCTACTGGAGCATCCTCATGGCACAAAGAGGAGGGAAAACAGAAAGAACCCGTGAGACACTGGCCAACCCCCACCTGTTTCTTCACATTCTCAATCTCTGTCCGCAGCCTCTGGACATTCCTGGACAGCTCCTGGATCTCAATCTTGGTGTTGCGGAGGTTGTCCCCATGCCGGCCGGCCGTGCTCTGGAGCTCTTCATACTGGATAAGTGGGGACAAAGACACCCATCAGGACCAAAGCTGACCAAAAGCTCAGGTGGTTCAGACAGTGGGGACTGTCCCAGGAGCCTCAAGCCCTTCCCAACTCACCCGGCTCTGGTACCAGGCCTCGGCCTCAGCCCGGCTGTTCTGAGCGATCTGCTCGTACTGGCGCCGGACCTCCTCGATGATGCTGTCCAGGTCCAGGTGCCGGTTGTTGTCCATGGACACCACCACGGACAGATCCCGGCTGATCGTCTGCATCTGAGCCAGCTCCTGCAACCAAGACATGAGTCAGAGGCACCATCCACCATCTGGAGGCCTAAATCCACCCAGACACCCCATCCAACCTCAATGTTTGGCCTCCTCATTGCAACACCAGTCCCCCAGGAGAAGAGAGAGCTCCTACCTCCTCGTAGATGCACCTCAGGAAGTTGATTTCGTCTGTCAGAGCTCCCACCTTGGCTTCCAGCTCAACTTTGGTCATGTAGGCACAGTCCACATCCTAAAGGAAAGATCTCAGAATTAGACCACGGCTTCCGTTCATCGCACAAGAGCTGTTGGCTCTTCCTGTTGAGATCTGCCCATCTTGGAGCTGAGTCCTTCCCATGTCTTTACCTCCTGTCCCCCCTCACCCTATCCCTGCTGGTGTCTTCCAGACTCACCTTCTTCAGCACCACAAACTCATTCTCAGCAGCTGTGCGACGGTTGATCTCCTCCTCATACCTGTGGCGGGGCAGGACAAAGTGAGACTCTGAGACCCCCTCGGAGACCCCTGGGGGTGCTCACCTGCAGTGGTCACTCCACTCACGGGGTCTCCTCATCAGCTCCGCTCTCCCCGCTCGTCCCTCCCCGTCTGTCCCCGCACTCACTTGGTTTTGAACTCCTCCACGTACTGCCTCATGTTCTGCAGCTCCGATTCCAGCTGGCCCCGCTGCCCCAGCAGAGAGTCCAGCCTCCTCCGCAGGTTCTGGATGTAGTTCTCAAAGATCACATCCAGGTTCTTCCTGGGCCCTGACGGCCCTTGCTGCTGGAGCAGCTCCCACTTGGTGGAGAGCACCTTGTTCTGCTGCTCCAGGAATCGGACCTACGGCCAACAAAGGGTGTGTGAGACATTCACCAGAGAGACATCCCACTGCTCGAAGCTCCAGGGAGCTTTGAAAGGCCATGGGAATCAATCCCCAAAACCCTTCCCACTGCTTCCAAGGGGAAAATTCCTCCCTTTTTTCTCCTTTTTTTTCCCAATTATTGTTAAATTCCTCTTTCCTCCTCCTGTATTTCTGCTCTCTTTTTTTTTTTTTCTGGAGGCAGCTATTGAAATGCTTCCATTCCAATCCTACAAATTATTTCCAATACCAGTCAGGATTTTTTGACATTAATTTTCAGGAGCATCAGATCCTTTTTGACCTACCAGTGAATGACATCCCAGTGGTCTCCATATTCAAGAACATTCCTCTTATCAGACAGAAATTATTCCATATACACATATATTTAAAAGACAAAAGAGCACACTTATAACTAACATTCTCCCAGTTCAGATTATTTAAAGGGAGCTCATCTGCACTTAAACTGAAAGAAGAAATGGTTGGGAATTTTTTTTTAATTTCATTCCTAGATTTTAAGTTCCTTGAGAAAAAAATTATCCCTGAGAAAGGACAGACTTAAATAAACACTTTGGTCACTGAGTATATCCCCATCCCTTTGGCCTGTCTACACTGGAGTGAAAACCAGTGTGCATCCACCAAACCTGGAGAAAGTTGTTCAGTTTCTCTGTGCATACTAAATTTTGACACTTCCTCAGGAGGAAACCAGGTGGAACAGAATGGAAACAATTACAGCCCAACACTGAGCTGAGAAGGATGTTATTTCCTTCTCCAGAGCACAAGGAATTTCTGCAGTTTTCCCATTCCCAAGCAAATCCAGCTCCAACCTCTCACCTTGTCAATGAAGGAGGCAAACTGGTTGTTCAGGGTCTTGATCTGCTCCTTCTCCTGGCACTTCACTTGCTGGATCTGAGGGTCAATGTCAACGTGGACCGGCCGCAGGAGGGTTGGGTCCACCTGCACTGGCTGGATGCCTCCAGGGAACCCGGGGCCACCTCTGATGGGGCCACAAAAGCCACCCATTCCTCCACCAATGACACCTCCTCCAATGCCACCGAATCCTCCTGGAAATCCTCCACCAAAGCCACCAATTCTACATCCGTAGCCACTGCCGTAAGAGCTGCCCATGGAAATCCTTGTGCTGCCACCCAAGTTGTGGAGGCTCCGGCTGCTGAATCCTGCACAGCGTCCGCTGCCACCTCCAATCCCCCTGGATGTGGAGAACGAGCTGTAGCTGATCCTGCTCCGGCCGCCACCTCCAAAGCCACCACCAACAGCAGAGCAGGAGCTGAATCCCCTTTTGCTCCCAACTCCGAAGCTTCTGCAGACAGATTGACGAGACATGACTGCTTCTCCTCAAAAGAGCCCAAACTGGGGAAGGTGAGGAGATCCACAGAGCTGAGCTGGTGCTGAGGGCAGAGAGAAGTGCTCAGAGTCTTCTCTGGCTCCACAGCTCCAGGCATTCCCTTTTATCTGCTCCTGGAGGTGGGCTGGGACAACTTGGGCGTGAAGAGGAAACAAATTTACTGTCTTCATCAGCTTGGTGCGGTTAACAGATTTTTTGCCAAATTGGTGACTCCACCCAGAAATCCGCTTCACCATGCAGAGGGAAAAGCAGGAGCACCGAGGCAGGTCTCTGTGAGTAAGTGGACTCCTATATCTTTATGTCATCTGGAAAAATATATTTTACAGTGATGTTGTCATGTTCTTCCCTCCTCCCACTTCCCTGCCTGCTCCTAACGACTCCACAGGTTGTCTGACTCCAGATTTTTTGCCTGACACTCCACACCAGGCAAGGATTTTGGTGAAACCCAGGTAGAACGAGTCTTTCACAATTCCCCCAAGCACACATCGCATCTCCTTGTTAAGCAGAAAATTCCCAATGGCTTTCCAAGTAGAAAAATGCTGCATCATTAACATTTAATGGGTCAGCATTTCTGTTTTAACCAGAAAGGAGCTGCTTAGTTCCTTCCTAAGAGCATCAGGTGGAATTTTTCCCTCCAAAATGTGTCCCACAAAGTCTGAGACAATCAGGTCCTGGGATTCTGAGCACCAGAGCAAGAGGACAAGGATGTCCAACTCTTTGCTTGTGTTTTTCCAATGGCCACAGGGATTGTCAAGCCACAGAGGATGGAAAGGACGCTCCAGGCAGTAGATGTTGTAATGATGACTGACAATAATGTTTCATTTCATGTACCAGCTCCCCGGCAATGGGTTTGGACACTCACGTGAAGGACATCTTGTAATGTACCTTCTGAGCCTCACTAATCAAATAAATATTTTTGTTACATTTATTGATTTTATTGGTAAAAACCACTAACATTTCCTTCATTCTTATTTCCTTAAAATCATGAATAAAAGTCAAGGGAAATACATATCTTGAAGCACTTCAGCACTCAAAAAATACCCTGTTTTTAAGCTTCCCAGCTGCATGTGTTGAGTTTTCATCATCATACCAGAGAGATTTGGGCAGGTAAATGTGGTTTGAAAGCATCCCTAGAATCAGCTGGTGGCCATGGACACAGCAAACACTTTGGAAAACCAGCCCAGGAAAACACTTCCAAAAGCCACTGGAGGAATCAGAAACATGAATTGTATTGATTGTCACTGGGATGATGCTTCTGGAACCACAGACTGTGTGGAACGGGAGGAAGGAGAGGACATTACCCTTGTCGTGGATTCAAATGTTGGCCAAGATTATCCCACCCTTAGGGACTCAACTGTTGCCAGCAGTTATTCAGCAATTGAAGTACACAACAGGTCACCAAGGATTATCCCTCTTTAATGGACTAAACAGTTGGCAAAGGATTGTCCCACCCTTGAGGGACACAAGTCATGGTTGGCCAAAGGTTGCCCAGGTGTGTGTTCCCGCAGCTGGAGAATGGACAGCGCTTCCAAAGCACAGAGGGAACATCCTCCTTTCCAAAAGCAGGTGCAGTCAAGACGGGCTGGTTTCTCCATGGTCATCTCCCAGATGGACATTTAAGCTCTCCAGACCATCCTGCAGCCCAGCTCACTTGCTCATGACGAGCAGCCTGGGACAGCTGCAGAGTGGCTCGGGTTTAGGTGGAGAAAGCAGGTTGTCCCTTCTCCTGGCCTCCCTCCCAGCTGCCAAACCCATGGTATGAAGGCACCAGCACTTCACTGGAATATCCCACAAGGAGGTTCCACAGCAAGGAGGAAGATCTGCAAAGTCAGCCAGATGCCTGGGTGCTGACCACACTCAGCTCCTGCAGATAAGACGCCCAGATTGAGTCACTCTGACGTCTTCAGACAAGATGTGCAGATTATTCCAAACCTGGAGTCACCCGAGTCTCCTCCAGGTAAAACTCGCCAGGCAGCTGGGCTCCAGCCATGCTCTCAGATCTCTTGCGCAAGGAGCTGTGCACAGCAGAATCATCAACACCAGAGAAAATGTGAACTCGGCAGAAAACATGGATGAAGACTGAGCCACACTCCGGCTTCGCATCTAACCCAGCCAGGAGCACGGAGGAGGTGTCGCAATGACTCTTCTCAGCAGCGCTACAACGCCATGTAAAGTTTGTTGTAAAGTTTAGAAGAAACAGGCCCTTAAAATTATACACCGAAACAGGTGATTAAACACCAAAACAGGTGACTCTTGCCCCAAGCCAAACCTCAAAGTGCTCCTGGCACAACACCAGCTTTGCACAGGCATTGCCTACTCAGCATCTTTATTTGGGCCAAACCCAGCCACAATTCCAGCTCCAGCACCCTTCAACGTGGGGAGAACCCCCTTTTCCAAGAGCTCACTGCCTTTCCTGGACCTCTTCCTCGGTCTGCAGCTTCCTGTCCCACTCTAGGAACATCAGCAACTCCCAGAGGCTGTTGTGGGACTCCTGAACCACCACTGGCAGCATTTTCTGTCTCTTTGATCTCTCCAGGTGGTGGAGAGACCACAGATCAAACACTCTGGACTCCCCTCCCAAACCCTCCTGTAGGAAAGACATTTTTGTGCTGTTCTTGTGAGCCAGTGAAGGCTTCCCGAAGATAAGGAAAGCCTTGTATCTCCCTCAAGGAAGGTACCAAGGCTATCACCATGACAATGTGAAGAAAGAGAGAAAATCAAAAGATAAGGACTTTAGTTGGCTCACATGGCTCCTTTTCACCTATTGAGAGTTTTGTTTCGTTTTCATGACCAATGGGCAGTGTATGTGTTTGTTAAGCAAATGTAATTATCCTGTAAAACTATAAAGGCAACCTGTTGCTTTAATAAATAGCCCTATACAGCCTTCTGATCTGAGTCTTGGTGCTTGCACTGTGTCGTGCTCTATAGCAACACCCCCGCCTTGAGCTCCTCCAGATCTGTCCTGCTCTTGGAGCAAGGATGAGCCGCTGGGGAATTAATCAGCTTCTCAGGGAGAGGATGGTACCTGAGCTCATGGATGAGGATGAATCACACCTTCCCAGCCCGTCGTGTTCCCATGGCTGGTCAGGGATGGTACATGGCTCTCCAGTGCTCCCCCTGCTCTTGGGTGCCAAGCTGTGCATCCCACCTGGCCATCCCACAGCCCAGGTGTGCACCAGAAGCAGGCACTTGACCAACATCCTGATCCATTGTTATCCATGTTCACCAGCTCCCCCACCCAAGGGGCTCCTACCCTGCCACTTCCTCATCACAACTTGAAGACCATTCAGAGGCAGAAAACTCAGATGACTCTTATCCAGTGTTGGCTCCCACCTGCTGCTGCTGATTCTCATCATCCATCATCAGGCCCTGTGGGTCTCTACTGGTCTGGCAACAGGGCACTGGGAATGTTCCTGACCAAGTCCCGGGGCACAGGTTTCGCAGACCCTTTGCAGAGCTTCCAAAATCCAAGAGGGATTGAGAAAGTCCCTTTCCTAGAGCTTCAGGAATTGGAGTGTTGCCACATGTGGAGAGATGTGACATGGGCACCAAGGCACTGAGTGCCTCTGTGTGCCTAAAGCTGAGCCCAAAAAACTGGGGCAGGGCAGCTTGTATTAGCTCAATGACTGGGAAGATACTGGAACTCTTTGTGCTGGAGCTTTCCAGATGCAACAATTGCAGAAATCTGCTGTGGGAGTAACTTTACAGGATTCTAGGGATGAACTGGATGATTCACTATGTCAGGAGATGCCTAAAAATTGAGCAGGCTCCTGTATTCCTGTTTGGTCTTCTGCTGCCTCAGTTACTGAGTGTTGTGTGAGCTGAGCATCCAGCATCCAGCACCCAGCACCTGGACTTGTGCCCTCAGGTGAGAGTCAGTCATCACTTGAGCTGTGATTGCTGCCCTGGTCCACCCTACCTGTTCACCTCCATCAAAGAACAGGTACAACACATTGCGCAGAGAATGACCCCCCCCAGCTTCACAATGAGCTGCTTCCCAAAGCATTGACACAACAACATCATGAATGTTCTCTGCAATTTATTGGGAATGGCAACATCCTAGGGAAGGAGGGCAGGACACACACACAGAGGAAGGGAGCTGGGGATGCAGAACAGGGGGAGAGAGGAGGAAAGAGGAGTTTTATACACATTTGCCAAAAGAAATGTACAACACAGCAAGGAAGGCAGGGCAGCCCCTCCTGCCGGGCAGCTCCCGGTGCCGGGACGCCCACGGCGTCGCCACCAAACCACCGGGTGGGACCAGGATCTGGGACAAGCTGGGCGAGAGGGACACAGTTCATCCCATTGCAGGACACCAGAGCTGGGCTTCAGGAGGCTGGGCTGCTGCCAGGGGGAGAGAGGAGGTGCTTCTTTCCTTGTCAACCTTCGGGGCTCAGAATCTCACTCCCGAAGATTTGACCGAGGTGGTGGTGACGCATCTCCGCACGGAGGAGGATCCCCCGCCAGAGCCGCACATCCTTCCGCTTCCAGAGGAGAAGCCACCAGAGTACATTCCTCCCCCCATCCCACAGCTGCCACCCATGCTGCCTCCTCCAAAGCTGCTGCCTCCTCCGCAGATGCCGCCTCCTCCCATTCCTCCTCCCATTCCTCCTCCCATGCCGCTGCCGCCTCCGAATCCTCCTCCCATTCCACAGCTGCCGCCTCCGAATCCTCCTCCCATGCCGCTGCCTCCGAATCCTCCTCCCATGCCTCCTCTGCCTCCAGAGACAGTCGTCCTGCCTACCACAGCTGGAAGAGAAGCACAGGTTACTCACCTGTTGCCCAAAAGAACAAGTTCTACCACTTCTGAAGGACCCCAGGGCAGATACTTACAGACATTGACGTTGGACATGCTGTCATTGCACAGCCTGTGAAGGGAAAATGGGACCAGTTATTCCTCTGGGAAGTGCACGGCTCTTCAGCTAAGAATTTCCTTTTCTTGTACAAGTTTATGTTTCTCAATTATTCTTTAAAAAAATCAGCAACCTATTCAATTTTTTTTCAGAATTTTCCAATTATTCTTTAGAGAAACAAGCAACATTCTTTTAAGATGGAAAACCCACTCAAGTATGTTTAAGCCTAATATAATTAATATATACTTGGGAATTAGAGCATGAATGACACAAAATCTGTCTTTAGTGTGGGTTCAAAAGTTTTAGCCACACATCTTATAATCCGTCAAGAATTTAGTCAAATAGATGCCAATTAGCTACCTGTTCTCCTCTCCCTCCAGCAGCTTCCTGTACATGGCAATCTCAACATCCAGTGCAATTTTGGTGTTCAGCAGTTCCTGGTACTCCTTCAGCAGGCGAGCCAGCTCCTCCTTGTCCTTGTTCAGGGCACATTCCAGCTCTTCCAGCTTCCTCCTGGCATCCTTGATGGCCATCTCCCCTCTCTCCTCAGCCTCAGCGATGGCTGCCTGAAGCTGCTGGTTCTGAGGAAGAGAAAACCAGTGTGTGAGATCCCTTTTGCCCACTGGAGCATCCTCATGGCACAAACAAGAAGGAAAACAGACAGACATAATCTATCTTCTCCAAAGGGTTTGAATTTTCATGATTACTTTCCCTCTCACCACCCAGCCCCATTCTGACCCAGCACACAGCTGTTACCCAGTGAGGAGCTGATGGTCCCTTACCTGCTTCTTCACGTTCTCAATCTCAGCCCGCAGCCTCTGGACATTCCTGGTCAACTCCTGGATCTCCATCTTGGTGTTGCGGAGGCTGTCCCCGTGTTTTCCAGCAGTGTTCTGGAGCTCTTCATACTGGAGAAGTGGGGACAAAGACACACATCAGGACCAAAGCTGACCAAACGCTCAGGTGGTTCAGACAGTGGGGACTGTCCCAGGAGCCTCAAGCCCTTCCCAACTCACCCGGCTCTGGTACCAGGCCTCGGCCTCAGCCCGGCTGCTCTGGGCAATCTGCTCATACTGGCGCCGGACCTCCTCGATGATGCTGTCCAGGTCCAGGTGCCGGTTGTTGTCCATGGACACCACCACGGACAGATCCCGACTGATCGTCTGCATCTGGGACAGCTCCTGCAACCAAGACATGAGTCAGAGGCACCATCTCTTGAGGGGAGAGAAGAGCAGTAGCTCCAGGCAACCTCTCCAGATCAAATCCACAATGACGCTCAGTCCAACCTCAGTGACTTTGGCCACCACACCCTCATTAAAACTTCACCAAGGGGAAGAGAGAGCTCCTACCTCCTCGTAGATGACCCTCAGGAAGTTGATTTCATCTGTCAGAGCTCCCACCCTGGCTTCCAGCTCAACTTTGGTCATGTAGGCACTGTCCACATCCTAAAGGAAAGATCTCAGAATTAGACCATGGCTTCCGTTCATCGCACAAGAGCTGTTGGCTCTTCCTGTTGGGATCTGCCCATCTTGGAGCTGAGTCCTTCCCATGTCTTTGCCTCCTGTCCCCCCTCACCCTATCCCTGCTGGTGTCTTCCAGACTCACCTTCTTCAGCACCACAAACTCGTTCTCAGCAGCCGTGCGACGGTTGATCTCCTCCTCATACCTGTGGTGGGGCAGGACAAAGTGAGACTCTGAGACCCCCTCGGAGACCCCTGGGGGTGCTCACCTGCAGTGGTCACTCCACTCACGGGGTCTCCTCATCAGCTCCGCTCTCCCTGCTCGTTCCTCCCCGTCTGTCCCCGCACTCACTTGGTTTTGAACTCCTCCACGTACTGCCTCATGTTCTGCAGCTCCGATTCCAGCTGGCCCCGCTGTGCCAGGATTGATTCCAGCTGCCTCCGCAGGTTCTGGATGTAGTTCTCAAAGATCACATCCAGGTTCTTCCTGGGCCCTGACGGCCCTTGCTGCTGGAGCAGCTCCCACTTGGTGGAGAGCACCTTGTTCTGCTGCTCCAGGAATCGGACCTATGGCCAACAAAGGGTGTGTGAGACATTCACCAGAGAGACATTCCACTCCTAGGAGATTTGGGAGCCCAGGGAATCATTCCCCATCTATGTCTCATTCAAGTACTCAAGCTCCTGAGGTGCATGAGAAGCATTATTTAATTTATTTGTTATTAGACAATTAATTTTGAGTCATTCTGAACTTCTCCCCTGGGGACAAAGCAATGTTCCCAGTAAAGACATCATCCCAATTTTCCATAGCATCAGGATTGGGCTTTGTCATTATCTTTCCAGCACTGAAGTCAAGAAAGATTAAATTTTTATTCCCTAACTGGCCATGCATTCTCTTGGGAGGGATTTTCTATTTCTTTGGCTTCTATTTGAAATTAAAATAATCCAAGAGTATTGAAAAGGGGTTTAATGCTCTGCAGTTTCTTGAATCAGGCTTTGAGAAGAAAGTTTCATCAAAAAGCAAATCCCAGCAATGAGAACTCTTAGGACAATTAAATTTACAGTCATGACTTTGCCCTGAATCACCCAAAATGAGGCTGCAGAAGTGCCTTGGCTAGACAATCCCCAGAATATCCTGCAGATGTTCTCTTTAATCTTCCATTAGCACAAAACCTCCTCTATTGTTTAGTGTTACTTATTAAGTAAACCTGACTAATTACAATTTGATGCTGAGGCATTGGTCTGACAACTCCAACAACTCTTCGTAGGTGAAAAAATTCCCTGTCCATAGCCCAAGGAAGTTGTTTGACATTCCACCTCCAAAAAGACCCTGTCCTAAACTCTCACCTTGTCAATGAAGGAGGCAAACTGGTTGTTCAGGGTCTTGATCTGCTCCTTTTCCTGGTTTTTGACTTGCTGGATCTGGGGGTCGATCTCAACGTGGACCGGACGCAGGAGGCTGGGGTCAACTTGCACCGGCTGGATGCCTCCAGGGAAGCCTGGACCACCAAAGCCACCCATTCCGCCCATTCCCCCACTGCCCATTCCACCACCAAAGCCACCCATTCCTGCCCCACCACCCATTCCACCACCAAAGCCACCCATTCCCATTCCTCCACCGCCCATTCCACCACCACCCATCCCTCCACAGCTCATTCCTCCACCAAAGCCACCCATCCTGCCACCGTATCCACCGCCACCATAACATCCGCCCATGGCAATCCTTCTGCTGCCCCCCATGCTATGGAGGCTCCGGCTGCTGAACCCCCCACAGTGTCCTCCTCCACTTCCTCCCCGGGATGAGGAGTACGAGCTGTAGCTGATCTTGCTCCGGCCACCACCGCCTCCAAATCCACCACCAACAGCAGAGCAGGAGCTGAATCCCTTTCTTCCCCCGACTCCAAAGCTCATGCAGACAGACTGACGAGACATGGCTGGTTTCTTCCAAGCAGAATCAAAATCCAGAAGAGCGGAAAGACCAACAGAGTTGATGAGGGCAAAAAGAAGTCTGCAGTCTTCTCTGGCTCCAGCAGCTTCGGGCATTCCCTTTTATCCACTGCTGGAGGTGGGCTGGGACAGCTTGGGCGTGAAGGTGGAAAGCAATTTAGTATTTTCATCAGCACGGGGTTGTTGACAGATTCTCCATGAGCTTTGCCATATTTGGGACTTCCCAGAAACACACCCTGTAATCTAGAGGTGAATAAAAAAAGAGCTTCGAGACACGTTTCCATGACTAAGTGGACTCTCATATCTTTATGACATCTTGGAAATCAATTTTATTCATAAACCCCTTTTCTAAAGCCCCTCATTGGCTATCCAGCCCTCATTAGTAACTCCCAATAATTCCAGATAGAGATCTCCCTATCAAAGCTCCACAGAAAGACAAAAGTTTTGATGAAATCCCAGCTATAATATGGCTTTCACAATTCCTTACACACACCCTTAATCTCTTTTTTATATGTTAAATTGCATTTGCGTTTCAGGAGATGTTTCCCAATCCTGAATGGGAATTCATGACACCAAAATTTGAGGAGACTCAGCATATTCTCCTGCTAGAGAGGAAAAATATCTCCTTGGAGCATGTGGTGTCACTACTGTGGGAGTGTCTTCTGCCTGTAGACTGAATTCCCTCCACTTGCAACTCCTCAAATCTGGGACAACCAGCTGGGGCTTTGGATGATGCTGGAGCAGAGGGAAGAATGTGACTGGAATCATCCCACTCTCCTCAATGTTCTGAGGGTGACAGAGAATGACAACTTGAGGAAGAATGAAGGGACACATTGGGAACTCTTTGGCGACAATGTCAGGGACAGACAGACAAAGACTATGGAGGAGGAGCAACAGATGAACAATTTGAAGTGGTAAGGGGTTCCTGCTACTCTGGTGAATCCCACAACTTCTGAATTACCTTTTTTTTTTTTCCCAAAAATGAGATGACTGACATGGAAAAGCCTTCTGAGAAATGAAGCTGTTACAACCCCCAAGGCACAGTATAACCTTTTGCTTCCAAATAACTTATTGGGAAAGGAATGTGGTTTAGGAATGTGGTTTAGAAATGTATTTTATAGAATGTCTCTGAAATAAACCCTTTTTGTGTGTGTGTGTTACATGTAAATGAAATTTAATTAATTACAGAAAATACAAATAATATCAGTGGGTTCCAAAAAAAAGTAGATTTTAGTTTAAAAGGAAGCCAAGTCTGTAAATACTATATAAGAGGCATTCTAAAGGTTTTATCTATCTGGATATTATCAATTAAATACTGGAACAATTTAATGAATTAAATAGAAAATGAATATTCACATTTTCCTAGAAAACAGCACAAGTAATGAAAAAATTACAGAAAATGCACATTCTAGCCCTTGAAACATGAATTTAAGGCCATTCAAAAGACTCGTATATGAATGCAGAACTTGAGAAGGAATTTTCAGAGTCCCCAATGAGATCTAGGTAACTAAATGTGGTTTGAAAGTAACAAGAGGCATCAAAAACCGAAATGTCCCTGACTGTCACTGGGACAGGGGTACTGAGCCCCCCGGTCAACCTGGAACAGGGAGGAGAGAACATTCCCCTTGAGGGAGTCAATGGTTAGCCAAGGGTTATCCCACCCTCGGGAGACTCAACAGCTGGCCAAAGTTATCCCAGTCCTGGGGGCTCAGTAACACTTGAACAGAGTTGTCCCACTCCTAGCTCCTGGCTGGTCAAGATTATCCCTCTCTCAAGGGATTCAGGTACGAGTTGGACAAGGTTATCCAGATTTGAGGGGGACCAATGGTTGGCCAAAGGTTGCCCAGGTGTGTGTTCCCGCAGCTGGAGAATGGACAGCACCCCCAAAGCACAGAGGGGACATCCTCCTTTCCAAAAGCAGGTGCAATCAAGACGGGCTGGTTTCTCCATGGTCATCTCCCAGATGGACATTTAAGCTCTCCAGACCATCCTGCAGCCCAGCTCACTTGCTCATGACGAGCAGCCTGGGACAGCTGCAGAGTGGCTCGGGTTTAGGTGGAGAAAGCAGGTTGTCCCTTCTCCTGGCCTCCCTCCCAGCTGCCAAACCCATGGTATGAAGGCACCAGCACTTCACTGGAATATCCCACAAGGAGGTTCCACAGCAAGGAGGAAGATCTGCAAAGTCAGCCAGATGCCTGGGTGCTGACCACACTCAGCTCCTGCAGATAAGACGCCCAGATTGAGTCACTCTGACAGCTTCAGACAAGATGTGCAGATTATTCCAAACCTGGAGTCACTTCAGCCTCCTTCAGGTGAGACTCAACACCAAAGTGATCCTTCAGATCTCTCACACAGGGAGTTGAACATGGTAAGATCAACACCAGGGAAAATGTGAACTCGTCAGAAAACATGGATGGAGACCAAAGCCATGCTCCGGCTTCGCATCTGACCCAGCCAAGAGCTTCCGTCATGGATCTTGCACAGAAGAGGTGTTGAAACAACTCCTCACATGGCACTACAATGCTGTGTTCTGGATTTTAAAGCTGAGAAGAAAGAGACTCTTAAAATTAAGCACCAAAACAGGTGACTCTTTCCCCAAGCCAAACCTCAAAGTGCTCCTGGCACAACACCAGCTTCTTAGAGCCTTCTCAGCATCTTCTTGTTGGGCCAAACCCAGCCATGTTCCCCAACCCTGGCACCCTCCTGTTGGGCTTCCAATGGTATAATTGTCTCTTCCAAGAAGCCTGTAGTCATTCCCTGTTGCCTTTCCTGGACCTCTTCCTCAGTCTGCAGCTTCCTGACCCACTCTGGGAACATCAGCAACTCCCAGAGGCTGTTGTGGGATTCCTGAAGCACCACTGACAGTGTTTTCTGCCTCTTTGATCTCTCCAGGTGGTGGAGGAACCACAGCACAGCTCAGATCAAACACTCTGGACTCCCCTCCTAAACTCCAACCTTGAGCTCCTCCAAATCTCTCTCCCTCCTGCTCTTGGAGCAAGGATGAGCCGCTGAGGAATTAATCAGCTTCTCAGGGAGAGGATGGTACCTGAGCTCATGGATGGGGATGAATCACACCTTCCCAGCCCATTGTATTCCCACGCTGAAATCGTGGCTCATCCTGGGGCAGATGAGTTTGTGGCTGACTGCAGCCAGTGGCAGGTGCATCACCAACATCCTGATCCATATTCACCTGCCCTACCACCACTGCACACGGCAACACTGGTGCCATCTCCTTCACCTAATGCAGGTCAAAGTCTCCTGCACCTGGAGATGATCCCAAAGGAACCTTAGAAGCAGCAACTTAATTTCATTGGTTGGTCCAAGGGATGCGACAACTTCTGTCTAGTGGAAGGTGTCCCTGTTCATGGCAGGGGTTTGGAATTGAATGATCTTTATGGTCCCTTCCAATCCAAACCATTCCATTATTCAAAGATTCCAGGTCTCCAACCTGGGGTCTTATTTCTTATTGTTCAGCTGGAGGATCCAGACCTCCACCATTCCAGATATAGGCTTGTGCCTTCAGGGGAGAGTCAAGAGCATCATCTGAGCTGAGGCACCTTCCCTGATCCATCCCCACCACTGATCTGCTCCCTCAAAACATAGGGACAGGCTGGAGAAAAACCCCCTCTCCCACCCTGCCCAGAGCAGCTCCTAAAGCAACAACACAACAATCATGAATATTCTCTGCAATTTATTGAGAATGGAAACATCTCGAAGAAGGAGGGCAGCCCACAGAGGAGGGGGGGAGGTGGGGACACTACACTGTGTCATGGGAGCTGGGCACTGAAGGACAGTTTTGTTCTCCTTAGGAATAGTCCAGGTGTGTGTGCGGTGTCCCAGGTGTCACTGAGAGCTGGGACTAGTGGATTGGAAGCTGTAGCTCCAGGGAAGGTGTGCTGGCAGCATGCCTGGGGCTCCCAAGTAAGCAAAGCTGCCCAGAAGCTCGACCCTGGGCCACCTCCTCCCTCCAGCCGCTGCCTGAGATGCCCCCTCCCCAAGGGATGAGTCCCACTTGCCCCACACCCACCCTGACCCCAAAGGCCTGCAAAGGGAACAGCAGGATGGACACACACAGAAGCACCCCAGGGACACAGAACAGGAGGAGAGAGGAGGAAAGAGGAGTTTTATACACATTTGCCAAAAGAAATGTACAACACAGCAAGGAAGGCAGGGCAGCCCCTCCTGCCGGGCAGCTCCCGGTGCCGGGACGCCCACGGCATCGCCACCAAACCACCGGGTGGGACCAGGATCTGGGACAAGCTGGGCGAGAGGGACACAGTTCATCCCATTGCAGGACACCAGAGCTGGGCTTCAGGAGGCTGGGCTGCTGCCAGGGGGAGAGAGGAGGTGCTTCTTTCCTTGTCAACCTTCAGGGCTCAGAATCTCACTCCCGAAGATTTGACCGAGGTGGTGGTGACGCATCTCCGCACGGAGGAGGATCCCCCGCCAGAGCCGCACATCCTTCCGCTTCCAGAGGAGAAGCCACCAGAGTACATTCCTCCCCCCATCCCACAGCTGCCGCCCATGCTGCCTCCTCCAAAGCTGCTGCCTCCTCCGCAGATGCCGCCTCCTCCCATTCCTCCTCCCATGCCGCTGCCGCCTCCGAATCCTCCTCCCATTCCACAGCTGCCGCCTCCGAATCCTCCTCCCATGCCGCTGCCTCCGAATCCTCCTCCCATGCCTCCTCTGCCTCCAGAGACAGTCGTCCTGCCTATCACAGCTGGAAGAGAAGCACAGGTTATGTTCCCATTGCCCAGTCACAGGCTCTGTCTCTGATAAAACAGTCTGATGCTTTTTCTGAAGGACCCCAGGGCAGATACTTACAGACGTTGACGTTGGCCATGCTGTCGTTGCACAGCCTGTGAAGGAAATTGGACATTTTAATTACCCAATAAAAGAGGGGTTGTAAAAACTTTAAACTGTGTTTTGACTGTCCAATCATTTTCCTGGTTCACCCTCGTAAACCCCTTTGGAATCACTAAAAGATTGGAGGACAGAAGGGGTTGGCAATTCCTCTTTACAATGAGGTTTCTCCAGATTTGAGGTTCATTAAAAACTCAGCAGTGGCAGACATGGGGCAGCAGCTCTGCCATCTCTAGGGAGCCAGTTAAGGGTTCTGACCCCCAGAATATCCCACAAAGTATCAAGCACAACATTTACCCTTTAGCCCAAAGAATTGGTTTTGGATTTCAGTTAATATTCCAGGTGTAGATCACAGCACCCAATGAGAGCTCAGTTGTTTACCTGTTCTCCTCCCCCTCCAGCAGCTTCCTGTACATGGCAATCTCAACATCCAGTGCGATCTTGATGTTCAGCAGCTCCTGGTACTCCTTCAGCAGGCGAGCCAGCTCCTCCTTGTCCTTCTGCAGGGCACTCTCCAACTCTTCCAGCTTCAACCTGGCATCTTTGAGAGCCATCTCCCCCCTCTCCTCAGCCTCAGCAATGGCTGCCTGCAGCTGTTGGTTCTGGGGAGCACGAAGGGAGTTTTCTCAGACCTCATTTTGTCCCTAATGATCAGTCCTCAGACCCCCAAGAGGAGAAATCAGGAGGCAAATAAACATCTGCATGAAGTGAACTTGGGGTGACAGAAGGTTTCTGCCCCACTCATGGTCTTTTGTGATGCAACCTGCTGCCATCTTCCCCTGAGACACCAACCAGCCCCTTCCTTTCTTCATGTCCTCAATCTCATCCCTAAGACATCAACCAATCCCTACCTGCTTCTTCACGTTCTCAATCTCAGCCCGCAGCCTCTGGACATTCCTGGTCAGCTCCTGGATCTCAATCTTGGTGTTGCGGAGGTTGTCCCCGTGCCGGCCAGCCGTGCTCTGGAGCTGCTCGTACTGATGGCACCAAGACAGAATGACCCATCAGTGACACATTCCTGGTGCCTCTAGGAGATTTGTCCCCAGTTTCAAGGCTCAGGTGACACTATGAGGACCCACTGTACTGATGATAGCTGCCCAGCTCAGTGGTCAAGGTGGCTCTGGGACTCAGTCATGGGGTTTGAGCTTTGAAATGGATCTTAGTGACACTATAAAGCATCTCTTTGCTTCTGAAAAGTCACTTGGGCTGGAATTTTCTCATTAAGGTGCATTTTGGGCCATTTTTATTGAGAGGTGCCTTAAGTTTTAGTGTTCATATTGTCCAGATTCTGTACTGCATTAGTATGTAACTCTGAACTTCATAAAAAGTGTTAGCAAGTTCTCCTCACAGTTTAGTAAGACAAAACAATCTTTTTCCAACCCAAAAACCAAGCTCCAGGCCCAAAAAGCATAAATAACAGCGAATTGAGGAGCACAGTCTGGAAGGATGGGACTTCATAACCTGAAGCTATAATTGGACAATTAACCTCAATATGTAAACAGACCAAAACCTATAAAAGTGATAAAACTCATGACCCGTTGTCCATCTTGGGTCCACCTTGGTAGCCCTGGCTGGGCTCTTGTACTGCCCAAGGTGTATCGTTTGAAGGCCTTTTTAATAAATACCTACTTTATTCCTTTAACAGTCTGGCCTCTGTTCTAGGCAGCCTCCCAAGGCATCAGTTTGTGCCACACACCTTGGTGAGTTTGGGACGCATGGGGAACAGTGAGTCAGATCCCTCAAAAGCAGTTCAATCCCTCTGGACCTTCCTTGCACCACAAGCTCCAGCCCCGTTAGCTTGAAAAGGTGTCTCACCCAGACATAAATTATTGTAAATAACCCAGCCACACCCAGGAGTCTCGACTGCTCCCTGACTCACCTGGCTCTGGTACCAGGCCTCGGCCTCAGCCCGGCTGTTCTGAGCGATCTGCTCGTACTGGCGCCGGACCTCCTCGATGATGCTGTCCAGGTCCAGGTGCCGGTTGTTGTCCATGGACACCACCACGGACAGATCCCGGCTGATCGTCTGCATCTGAGCCAGCTCCTGCAACCAAGACATGAGTCAGAGGCACCATCTCAAGCCTAAATCCACCCAGACACCCTGTCCAACCTCAGTGTCCTTGGCCACCACACACCTGATGAAAATTTCAGCCCCCCAGGAGAAGAGAGAGCTCCTACCTCCTCGTAGATGCACCTCAGGAAGTTGATTTCATCTGTCAGAGCTCCCACCCTGGCTTCCAGCTCAACTTTGGTCATGTAGGCACTGTCCACATCCTAAAGGAAAGACCCCACAGAAAATAATATTTTTCCTCTTGGGAATCCTTCAGGCCTGTGGGAATCGCTGCCTGTGCTGAGGGTTTGATGTTATTCACTGGGACATCATTATGTTTATATATAATTCAGTAACCATATATGCAAATAATTAAAAATAAATAATGTTATGGTGTCATCCACTTATGCAAATTGAATATAAGGTGTTCCAGATATCAGCTGGGACATCTTAAAAACTCCACGATTCCCATTCAAGCAGAGGTAAAGCGAAATATTGAGGGATTATTTTGTGATGCCTGTGACTCACCTTCTTCAGCACCACAAACTCGTTCTCGGCTGTTGTGCGCCGGTTGATCTCTTCCTCATACCTATGGAGAGGAAAAGTGCAAATTGTATTCCTGGACTTTCCTGCCTAAGGCCATTAGAAACAAACTAAAAGGGAAAAAATCACTAAATTAAAATATTTAGGCTGAAAAACTATCTCCACTATCACCATAAAAAGCAGTGGGGGAAAATTAAAGTGACCAAAAGGCTGCTTGAGCTGCTCCTGGCTCTGCACTCACTTGGTTTTGTAATCCTCGACGTACTGCTGCATGTTCTGCAGCTCCGATTCCAGCTGGCCCCGCTGTGCCAGGATTGATTCCAGCTGCCTCCGCAGGTTCTGGATGTAGTTCTCAAAGATCACATCCAGGTTCTTCCTGGGCCCTGACGGCCCTTGCTGCTGGAGCAGCTCCCACTTGGTGGAGAGCACCTTGTTCTGCTGCTCCAGAAATCGGACCTACGGCCAAAACACGGAGGACCCACCATCACACAGGAACAGCTCCCACCAAAACATCTCTTGGATCACTCACAAAGATTTGTATGGTGATCAGAGAACCAATAAACTCTGGTTTTTTAAACTTTCTGTTGGTGCCTAAGCTGCAAAATCAGGAAAAGAAGGAAATTTCTAATATTTTTCTACTCAAAGGAGTTTTTACACATTGCCCTTACTCCAAGTCTGTCCCCATCACAGGTAGTGTGGAAATCTGATATCCAGCCTAGATTTAAAAGCCTAGAGATTTGAAAGAGAAAAATATATAAATTAATACTTAAATGGGAGGTTGTTTGGGCAGAGAGTGGTGGAGGAGGGAGAATCTGTGCCCGAAACCTGCGGAGGTTGAAGGTGTTGAACCTGCTTGAGAGTGTAACCTCAGAGTAGAGCTTGGTGCAACAGGACAGATGAAAGCCCTGGAGACACGGCTTTGATCTTGTGTGGAGGAGAGATTCCCATCTCTTCCCTTAATGAAAAGGCTCTGCTCAAGCTTCTCTGCCTGCTGGGATTTAGCTCCAGAAGGACATTTCTGCGCAACTGTAAAGTTCCTCCTGATTTTGGCCTTAATCAGGCACAATCCCCCCCTCTCACCTTGTCAATGAAGGAGGCAAACTGGTTGTTCAGGGTCTTGATCTGCTCCTTCTCCTGGTTTTTAACTTGCTGGATCTGGGGATCAATCTCAACATGGACCGGGCGTAGGAGGGTCGTGTCAATCTGCACTGGCTGGATCCCAGGGCCACCTCTCCCAGGTCCACCCATGCCAAAGCCTGGGCCACTAAAGCCACCCATTCCTCCACCACCCATCCCACCACCAAAGCCACCCATCCCACCACCAAAGCCACCCATTCCTCCTCCACCCATTCCTCCAAAGCCACACATTCCTCCTCCTCCTCCTCCACCCATTCCTCCCCCAAAGCTGCCAAGACCCCCGTAGCTCCCGCCAAAGCCGCCCATCCTGCTGCCGTACCCACCACCATAGCACCCGCCCATGGATATCCTGGCGCTGCCCCCCATGTTGTGGAGGCTCCGGCTGCCGAAGCCCCCGCAGCGTCCGCCACCTCCGAATCCCCTGGACACGGAGTACGAGCTGTAGCTGCTCCTGCTCCGGCCACCACCTCCAAAGCCACCACCAATTGCAGAGCAGGAGCTAAAGCCCCTTCTGCTCCCCCCTCCGAAGCTCCTGCAGACAGACTGACGAGACATGGCTGGTTATCCTCAAAAGAGCCAAGAATGGAGAAGCTGAGGAACTCGACGGGGTTGTGGGTGAGGAGGTGGATGGAAGAAGGGAAGTCAGTCCCTCTGGCTGGAGGGCAGCAGACGCTCCCTTTTATGTGTTTGTGGAGGTGGGCTGGGTCTGCATGGGCGTGAAGGAGGAGACAGGTCCTGTCTTCATCAGCGTGGCGTGGCTAAAGATTTCCATCTCCAATTTGCCAAACATTGACCCTACCCAGAAACACACCCTCTAATGCAGGAGAAAAAGCAAAAAAGATCCAAATGGAGCTCCCAGCACTCCATGACTAAGGAATCCTACACCTTGTGGAGCAGCAAGAGCCTCCCTGGGATATACAAGGCATTTTTTTCCACCTTTCATCCACTGGGGTTGTTTCCCTGCTTGTGTTTATCTTTAAATCTCTCACTCCAAAGCCCCATTGCAGGCAGGCATTGCGGTTTATGCCAAGTTGTAGCCCGACTTTCACAATTCCCAAAACACACCTAAGTTACACCCTCAGCCTTCTTTTTACTTGGAAAATTGCCTTTGGCTTGGAGAATTGAGTTTCTCAATCTACAGCCAGAGCTCAGCAAATTGCATTTTGATGAGGCTCTGCACCTTTTTGATAAATAAAACCTCACCAGTGACGAGACGCCGGTGCTGGCACTGGAAATTCATTTATTGTTGGACTAATGCATGTCCCACTGTCTTCATGCCAAGATAATCTCAGCACTGGTGAGGAAATACCCTATCCGGGAAACCTGTGTAGGATTTTCTGAAAGCTTCAGGACCATAAGGAGACACCAGGCACCGGCTGCCATGGTGGGACTTGCAGAAAAATGGAGGCACAGCCCCGGGAGCTCAGTGGGAGGAGGGATCCCAAACCTTGCTTCCCACATCACATGCCCTGGAACAATTTAAATGCAATTAATAGAGCTCAACTCATTTATAGAGATGTGAAAATCCGGAGAGCACAGGGCTTGGAGGAATCACCATGCTTTTCAGCCGTTTCACTTATTTTGATGTTTATATGTAAATATATCTTTGTCAGATGTAGATTTTAGAAAGGCAGGAGTTTGTCGGAATCATCCAGTTCAGATCCCCAGCTGAGGGTGGATTCAGACTATGATCCCTCACAGAATTCCAGAATGGTTTGGGTTGAAAAGGATCTTAAAGCCCATCTCGTTCCACTTCCTGCCATGGACAGGGACACCTTCCACTATCCCAGGTGGCTCCAAGCCCCCTGTCCAACCTGGGCTTGGACATTTCCAGGGATAGGGCATGCACCACCCTTCACAGAATCATGGAGTGATTCAGACTGACTCTGTAAGTCATTTAATCCAAAAATCCATCACAGATCCACCCTTTTGCCTTGCTTGTCAAACAGCAATTAGTCTCATTTTCTTTTTTTGTAGAAAAAATAGATTTTTTTATTACTTTTCAACATTTTAAAGCCACCTAGGCCATATTGAAGTCCAAACCCACAGCTCTGGAGACACCTAACTGTGCTGGCAGCCATCTGGTGCAGGTCTCAGAATTCTCACAGGACACATGTTAATTAAGAGCTTCTGGAAAATCCACACCAGCAACTTCTGGTATCATCAGATGTTTAAATACCTCTAAAAATATTGCCCAGACACCCATTTCCAAAAGTGCCTTGGGACCTGGATATGCAGCTAAACTGGCATTTCCACTGGAAAACATGACATTCCCTGTGTTTATCCCACCTCCAGGACCTGTGTGGGTCTGGGAGGACTCAAGGAGATGGATTAGGGGGGTAGATAAGGCTAAGAAAAATCAGGGAATCATAGAATTGTTATGACTGGAAAAGACTTTCAAAGGTCATCAAGTCTTACTTTTGAAAAAGTATGTAATATCAAAACCTCACTGCGAGAGCAAAGAAAGAGAGGGGTTGTGGGTTGGACAGAGGTTTTTATAGGCAATAAATCAGAAAAATAGACAAGAAATCAATACACAGACAATAAAAATGGGGGCTGGGGCACTACCCAGCCAAGACCCACCTTCCTCAGTGTTATCAAACCTCTAGTTACGCTTTCCTGGGGGATTTTTGTTGGGATTTTTTTCTCCTTCTGTGGGCGGGATGACACGATTTGAAAGTTCTCCTGTTCCCAGGGGAAGAGAGTTCCCGAGTCAGCAAACGGCAGAGCCCCGAGCGCCCATGGAGAGATAACACAGAGCATTGAGTCACGGCCCTGGCTCCAGCCAAGCTTAGGAAATCGAACTGGAATTTGGGTATTGATATCCCTTCCCGGTTCAGACATGATGGGCAGAGCTGGAATGGCTTGGTGGGAAAAGAGTGGAAAGATCATCCCATCCTACCCCTGCCATGAGCAGGGACTTCTTTCAGTGGACCTCACTGTTCCAAGCCCCATCCAGCCTGGACCTGGGTACTTCCAGGGATGCAGCAGGCACAGCTTTTCCAGAAAATCCATTCCAGGACCTCACCACCCTCACAGGGAGGAATTCCTTACAGATATCCCATCTAATCCTCCCCTCTTCCAGCTGGAAGCCATCACCCCTTAGCCCACCATTTCAGGCCCTTTCCAAGTCCCTCTACAGCTTTCCTGGAACCCCCAAGGCAGGAAAATGACCTTCAGAGGTCACTTCCCACCCAAACTGTTCCATGTTGCTGTGAAAATAAACAGGCCTTGAATAACTGAGAGGAAACCATGAAATAACAGAATCATGGAATGATTTGGGCTGGAAAGGACCTTAAAGTTCATCTTGGTCCATTCCCTGCCATGGGCAGGGACAAACCCTGATGAATCCAATCCTATTTTCAGACCATGGAAAACATTGTCTCTCCTCCAACCAGAGGCAGGAATTATATCACCTCTGTGTCCAGCCTGGGATAATTTTTCCCTAATTGCTGGTGCAATCCCAGGAACAAAAAGGGAGGGACTTGTAAGTATGTTTGTTGTAGCGACAGCCTTTGTGCTCCTGGAGAAGCCCTTTGTCTCTCCTCAGGCAGGAGTCACTGCTGGAAGCGACTTTGGATTGGGGTGACTCCGAGGGAAGTCAATGCCTTTTCATTCAACAGCACTTCAGGTCACTTTTACAACTCCCTGAATGTTTAACACCACTCAAACCATGTCCCCACCCAAGCAGTGACAAGCCCGTGCTGGCAGCATTGTGACATTCCATTGTGACATTCCGCCTGTCACTGCTGGTACTGGATGTCTTCAGCCTTTACCAGCTCAGAATGGAACATGGGAGAAATGGGATGAGTCACCCCAAGCACAGGCTGTGGTTGGCCAGGGATGTGATTCAAGGTCTCCTGAGCAAGAGGTCAAACCACAGCAGGAGTTCGGGGATCGAAATTCATCCAAATACTCTGCTTTTGGGGAGAGGTGTGGTTTGATGGAGCAGGGGGGGGAAGGTCTCCTCCCATGGTCTCAGTTACCTTTTGGAGATGCCTTAAGAGCAATCCATGGATCCTTGATGAGTGCAGACAGTAGGAAAAGCTGCAGGGCTGGCTCCAAAATAATGTACACCAAGGAATTAACTCCAAATTATTTGGAGGGGTGATGATTGCTCTTCCTTCTCCCACCTGGAGTGCACACAAAGAGTGTCCTGGGAGCTCCAGCTGTGGCACCCCAAGCTGGGGCCACCTCAGAAGACAGGATGGGCAGTTGTGTGGTCAGGCACAGTGGCCAGGGAGAGGTGGGATAGCTGGGGAACATCCCAAATTGGCTAACTCCAGCATGGAAAGGGCTTAGGAAGAGAAGAAGGAAGGGAAGAGTCTCCTAAAATCTACAGAGTCTGAAAGTCTGCTCAGACCTGGTGGGGACAATGGTGGAACAACAATCTCTGCCATGTCCAGGGATCCTGCAGGACACGTAGGAGGATCCAGGGGCTGCCTCTTTCTCTCTGCTAGGAGTAGGCTCATTCCCAGGGCTGTCACCAAAGTCACCCCCAACTGTGTCACTGTCATTTTGTACCCAGCGTCCCTTCACCCTCCCTGGTGAGACCCTCCTTATTCTGCAAAACTCACAAACTCCCCACATTTTTGGAGACAGAGGGGCGAGAGGAGACCCGGTTGCCCCTTCACCTGAGTTCCTTTAAATTCAGACTTCAAAGGGCAGGAGAAAGTCAGGAAATGTTTTCAGATCTCATCAGAAGATGAGACTTGTTACAACATGAAACTCTTTGGTCGGGGAGAAAACCACACCAGGTTTCTGCCTCTTATGTTTATTGGGGGATGGCACATGCCAAGGAGAAAGGCTTAAGCAAACACACGTGATTGTTCCCATGGTCCCAAGGAAAAGGTGAACCCTGAGTAAAAATAAACATTTTACAACAGGACGAGTGAAACTTCCAGGGGAGCAAACTAAAAAGTCAGTTGGGTGACAAACATCTTCAGCCAAGGCACCAGGAGGAAATTCCTGTTTTGGAGCTCGAGCTGCGTCTGATGAGTGACGTTGATTAAAGTTGCACCATGGCTGGATCCAGCACAAGAGCTTGAGAGAAGCCAAGGCTCCCCTGCACACTCGGAGCTGCGCTTGGATCCATCCCTGCTCCTGCCTGTGGTCGGGCGCCTCTTGCTTGGAGGGTGCTGGGCTCATCCCAGCCAGGTTTGCGGCTCCCCATGAATGGGCAGGTCCCGCTCCCAAAGGAGAGCTGGGCACCTTGATGTCCAGCAGCTGGACGGGAGCACAAGGGATTGAGCTGTTCTTGGCTGCTGTTGGGAATCTCAGTCCTTACCAGGTGGTCACTGGGGGGGGTCATCGTGCAGTTTGCTCCCTTTCTCCTCTGGCTGCTGCCGTCGGGGGGTTGATCCCTTTCCTATGCCCTCCTGGTGGGGCCACTGTTCTTCAGGATGGTGCCAGATCCCCCCACCACCACTGAGTTAGATCCCCCACCCAGGGAGCCAAATCCACCCCCAGCACCAAATCCACCCCCTCCCAGGCTGAAGCATAAACCAGCACCGCCCGTGTTGCAGCTGCCTTTCCCGCTTCCAAAGCCAATTCCTCCTCCTCCAAGGCACAGTCCGCTGCCATATGAACCTCCCACAGAGCTGCTGCCGCCCACCACAGCTGCAGAGAGGAACAAAAGACACCAGGTTACCTCTGATGCCACCAAGAAGTGTGGGAGCACCAGTCCCAGCCCACCACACTCCTGTGGGAACAGTACTTACAGATGCTGACAGAGCTCTGGCACTCTCCAGACATCCTGCAAGGAAACGAGATGGAGTGTCAAATCCAGCCAGAGCATCTGGAGTGGTTCAACTCCATGAAGTCAGGATTGGTCCACTGACACAGCCACAGGACCACGGTCCACAGCTCATAACAATACTATTAATGTTTATGAAGACGATGGTATACATTTTTCCCATTGACTGATCAGGATACAGGGAATTCCTGCTGTATCCCACCCACCTGCACTCCTCGCCTTCCAGCAGCTTCCTGTAGGTTGCAATCTCCACATCCAGGGCCAGTTTGACGTTCATGAGCTCCTGGTACTCCCGGAGCTGCCGGGCCATGTCAGCCTTGGCTTTCTGCAGGGCTGTCTCCAGCTCGGCCAGTTTATCCCTGGCATCCTTGAGAGCCACCTCCCCGCGCTGCTCTGCATCCGCAATCGACGTCTGAATGGTCTCACACTGGAGGGCAAGGCATGGGGGGGATGAGTGGGGTGGGAGCAGCCAGTGAGAGATGCAGCCATAATCCCAGATCAGAGAAACATGTAATGGTTTGGGTTGGACAGGACCTTAAAGAGGATCTGGAGCATGCACAGGAACACCTTCCACCATCCCACTTTGCTCCAAGCCATGTCCTACCTGGCCTTGGACACTTCCATGGATGGAGCATCCATAACTTCTCTGGGCAACATGTGCCAGAGCCACTCAGGCTCAGCTATTCCCAGGTCCCTCCCATGCCCAACAATTCCCACCACACTTATTTTCCTTCAGGGAAGTTTCAAAAGGCATGACCAAGAGGTCCTCCCCATTGCTCCAAAAACATAACCCCCACCTGCTTCTTCACACTGTCGATCTCAGCCCGGATCCTCTGGATCATGCGGTTGAGCTCTGAGATCTCGGTCTTGGTGTCCTTGAGGCTGTCTCCATGCTTGCCTGCGGTTGCCTGCAGCTCCTCATACTGGTGGGATGAAACAGGAGGAGCATGTTGAGTCCACTGTAACCTCACAGCTGCTCCCACATCACCACAGAGAAGCCAAGGAGAGCAAATCGGTGCCAGGTCCGCTCTGGATGGGCCAGCACCAGCAACGTTCCAGATCTTGCATGGCCAGACCTGCTACCAGTAGCTCTCCCACCCCCTTGGACACTGGAGAGCCCCAGCAGAGTGTGCCACTCTCACCTTGCACCGGTACCAGGACTCGGCCTCAAGCCGGCTGCGGTTGGCGATCTCCTCGTACTGCGCCTTCACCTCGGCAATGATGCTGTCCAGGTCCAGGTTACGGTTGTTGTCCATGGACAGCACCACCGAGGTGTCGGACACCGTCTTCTGCATCTGGGCCAGCTCCTGCAGGTAATGCCCAACCCAGATTTAGCCCTTCCAGAGCTTCCTTATGGTGCCACAACCCTCCCCCATCCCGGTTGCCCCACAGTACTCACGGCCTCATAAAGACACTTGAGGAAGTTGATCTCATCCAGCAGAGAATCCAGTTTTCCCTGGAGTTCCACCTTGGCCATGTAGACTCCATCCACATCCTGCAGCAGAGATGGGATGAGAAAAGCTGCTCAGCACACACCAGTTAATCTAAAATTTCATGGAATCATGGAACAGTCTGGGTTGGAAGGGACTTTAAATGCAATTCCACCCCCTTCCATGGGCAGGGACACCTTCCACTCTCCCAGGCTGCTCCAAGTCCCATCCAACCTGGCCTGGGGCACTTCCAGGGGTCAGGCAGCCACAGCTTCTCTTGGAAATCCATTCCAGAGCCTCCCCACCCTCACAGGGAAGAATTCCTTTCCAATATCCCATCTATCCCTGTCCTCTGGCAGTGGGAAGCCATTCCTTGTGTCCTGTCACCCCAGGCCATTGTCCAAAGTCCCTCTCCAGCTCTCCTGGAGTCCCTTTAGTTAAAAAGCAAGGATTGACCTTCTTCAGGAGCACAAATTCATTCTCAGCTGCCGTCCTTTTGTTTATCTCCTCCTCGTACCTGTGGATGGGAAGGAGGGAGATGGAATCTGGCTGCTTGTTTTGGCTCAGGCTCAGGCTAATGAACATTGTTGGCCTCAGACTCATAAACCCAGCAAAAATAGATCTGCCATGAGGGAGATTTATGGACAGGGAATTGCACTTCGCCTTTCAGGACAAGCCCTGGCTCCTGCACTTCCAGCACCTGGGTGAGGAAAGCCTGGAAAGAGGAATTCTGGCTCTGCTAAAGGGAGTCCTGGTGCTTGCGGCCACTCCAAGCTCCTTCTACGAGATCCAAGAACCTTCAGCTCCTCACAGGTATCGTAGAATCTCCTGATTTGGAAGGGGCTTACAGGGATCATCAAGTTCAGCTCCTGGCCCTGCGCAGGACACCCCAGAATCCCAAATGGACTCAAATTTTCCAGATGCTTGTCTCCAAATATAAAGTCAATTTTCACTCAGCCTCTGGTTGATCCCAGGTCTTGTGGATTCCCATGATTCCCAGACTTCTTTGCCCAATGTTTTTTGTAATTCCTCAAGTGGATTCCTTTCTCCAGTCTTTGTTCTACTTTTTCAAACTGGACACATTTTATGTTCATATTTATAGACTAAAATAAATTATATATTATAATATTATAATAACTAACAGCAGGAAAATAGTCTTTACTTTTCCTTTCTTTTTTTTTTTAACTTCTTGTCAGCCTTACACAGAAACCCTCAAATCCTGAATGATATTATGTGAAAGAATCATGAGGAAATCCATAAGGAAATTAGAGCTGGATTTAGCAACTGATTAATAAATTAAATCATAATGTCACTGATTCTTAAGGAATTCCTTCTTGAGGAAGACAAAGAGTGGAGGATCCTCCTTCAGGAAGAAGCACAATTCAAGCAATATATTGAGAAAATCTGAGAACAGTTGAAAAAAAACTTGAAAAAGCACCACTTTTCATCCAAACTCACTTTTCCCAAAACATTTTACATTTTCTAACCATCGGGGAAAAAATCAATATTGATAAATATTATCAATATTTTTCATTTTTTCACTGTTTGAAGTGAGTTTTTCTCTCTGATTATTCACCACCAGACACTTCAAGCAACTTACTTTGTCTTGAAGTCCTCCACCATGTCCTGGAAGCTCTTCAGCTCTGTGTCCAGCTGGTGCTTCTCACTGGAGAGACAATCCAGCTGCTTCCTCAGCCCACTGATGTAGGTCTCAAAGAAAGGGTCCAGGTTCCTGCCCCCCGTTCCTGTGCCGCCCTGTTCCTGCAGCAGCTTCCACTTGGTCTCCAGGACTCGGTTCTGCTGCTCCAGAAACCGGACCTGAACAGGTGGGGAAAGAGTCAGATGCTCCCTTCAAAACCCCATCTTTTTATTGATTTTTCCCCCCATGTGCTTTCCATATTTTATTCCCATTTAATGTGTGATAACTCCCCAGTCCTACAGGACAGGTAGGACCACAGTGAATGGGGCAAGTGGGCAAAAGGGGGTCACATCCCCTTCCCAATGTTGGAGCTTCTAAACAGGAGAAACACAATGAACTTCATGGGTTTGGCATCTTCTTGTTCAAAATAGCCAAAAAAGTCTCAACATCTTCAAAATGGACCAAAACACCCAAAAAGTCCAATTGTCTCCTTAAAAAAAGCCTAAATCACTACTTATCCCATCTTCTCCTTAAAAATAGTCTAAAACACCCCAAATCCCAACATCTCCATGAAAATATAAAAAAAAAAATCCCACCTTCTGCTTTAAAATAGCTCAAGTCACCAAAATCACATAATCTCCTTAAAAGAAGCCTAAGGCATCCAAAATCCCATTAAAAATAGCCCTAAACACCCAAAAAATTTCACCTGCTCCTTCAAAGTAGCCCAACGTTCCCCATAAAATAGCCCATTTTCCCCTTAAAAACAGCTCTGAACACCTTCAGTTTATGGTGATCTGGGCAACTGCAGCTCTGGGTGCCGCTGGATGAGCATCTCCTGGTCATTCCCACCCTCCAGAGCCCATCCTGGAGTGAAGCCCCTCCAAACCTTGTCGATGAAGGAGGCGAATTTGTCGTTGAGTTTCTTGATCTCCTCCCGTTCCTGTGTCCGAACCTTCTGGATCTCAGGGTCAATCTCCAGATTGAGGGGGGCCAGCAGGCTCTGGTTGATGGTCACCTCCCTGATGCCACCCGGGGGGCACGGCGGGAAGCCCTGGCCCCCCATCCCACCGTCAAATCCTCCACCAAAGCCACCAAAGCCACTGCCAGGGCCTCCACCAAAGCACCCTACACCATAGCCACCCCCAAATCCTGCTCCGGCCCCGAAGCCGAAGCCTCCTTGGCCACCAAAGCCTCTGCAGGCAGCACCAGCACCCCCAAATCCTCCCAGGGAGGTGCTTTTACTGCCCCCCAGGGAATAGAGGCTCCTGCTGCTGAAGCCACCAGCAGTTCCCCGGCATCCTCCACGGGGCATGGAGCCAAACGTGACCTTGTTCTTGCCCCCGAAGCACACAGAGCTGGAGCTGAACCCCTTGCCAAGAGCGCAGGACTGGCGAGACATGGTGAAGGGTCCCCAAAATTCTGAGCAAAAAGCTGAGGCTGGGGCTTGAGAGGCAAGAGAAGCCAAGTCTGTGGGAGCAGCTGCTGGGTCCCCCTTTTTATGGGCACAGGGAGTTGATCGGTGCCAGGGGGGAGTGGAAATGTCACCTTTTGGGGATTGTTTCATTCTCTTCATTGTTTTCAGGTTTGAAAGGACGCCCTCCTCACTTTGGCACAACCGTGACCTGCCTGCAAACACTCTCCAGAGTGCAAAGAAAAACAAAAGTATTGTTGGTGTTGGAGGCGAACTCCAACCCAAATTCCCTGGGCCATGGCCAAAGCCCCGTGAACTCTCTGATGTATCACACCCTCGAGGGAAACCCTTGTTTTAGCTAAATCTGTCACTTTCGGCCTGACTCCAGTGGCTGGGTTCACTGAATTCCAACAAAAACCCAGCTCCCAGACACACCCTCAGATGCACTCAGTTTCAACCTCCTGCTCCGAGGAGGGGTGACGTGGGTTGTCCAAAGTGTTTCACAACTGGGAGCATTAGTGTTGGGCAGGGTTCTAAAACTACTTTTATGTCAATAAAGGTGATTTTAAAATCTTCTTAAACCTTCTGAAAGCATTTTGAAGTCATTCTGGATCTCTCTGAGTGATGGGTTGAGCTGGGTGAGACACACTGGGATTTGCAGAGACTGAAATATCTCAATATATCTGTGTTGGGCACACCCCAGCAGCATCAAGACTGTTCCCTGACCCACAACTTTGACAGGGGATCACATCCCTCCTCTGAGGAACCCTCCAGGGATTTTGTGATGTTTCCTGAGGGTCCCTGTGGATCTCCAGTCCCTCCACAGCACGTCAGCACATGGTATTCAGCAAAGCCACTCCCAGCCTACCACATTGTTAAAACAACACAATTTAATTGCTTAATTGCTTTAAATTTCTATTTAAATGAGGTGTTGAGCTGCCTCCATTGAGGATCCCGGTTTATCCCACTGTTAAAACAAATAAAAAGCCTCAAAACTTCCCCCAACCCCACACTGCCAATAAAATCCAGCTCTGGATTATCCCGTTTATTGGGAGGGGTTTGTGGAACCAGTTTCAGCTGCAAGACTGTTCACCCCGGCTTTTTTTTCACTGAAAAGATGTAAATCTAGGTGTGGGTGCATGTCCCAGTGTTTCCTCCTGAATCTCACTGGGGATTCCTGAAGCTCCAGGATTTTCAGCCCCAGGGAATTTGCAGTGCAGGGAACAGGGAAGTTGATGCTCCCCTTGAACAATGCGCATCCTGCATGCCCCAATCCCACCTGGAAACCCCCTCCCACCCTCCGGGGTTCCCCAGCTTTCCAGCTGGAGAGGAGAAGCGGTTTGAACTGGCGGAAGAAGGCGGAGGCTGCATCTCCTCACCTTACGCAACCGGCAGATCAGCCCCAAAACCGAATGAACCTGTTGGAGCCTGGGCGGAGAGCATTCCTGCCAGGAGTTCCCAGGGTGGCTTCAGCAGCAGCTCCTGGCCCAGCTGCTGCCCTGCGGCCAGCCCAGCACTTGCCCAAGCAGCTGCTGGGCCAGCAAAGCCCTGCCCCACCCTGCCACCAAGGGGTGAAGACACCTCACTGGGACATGGGATCAGTTCCCAAATCCCTCCTGAACTCCAAGGTGGAGCATCTCAGATGCTCCAGCACTTGCCGGGATAGGAATGCATCAGGAGCAAAGCTGAGGGTCCAAGGTTGGCCACTGTCACCCAACCAGTGCTGGCCACCATCACCCACCCAATGCTGGGCAACATCACCAGCCAACATTGGCCACCATCCACTCCCCAGTGTTGGCCACCATCACCCACCTAACACACTGGCACCCATGGAGGGCCATCCCCCACTCAGTGTTGGCCACCATCACCTACCCAACGTGGGACACCATCCTCTGCTCAGTCTTGGCCACTGTCACCCACCCAACACTGGCCACCATCACCCACCCAGCAGCTCAACCTCCCACCTTCCCCGTGTATCCTGTGGGACAACCGTGCCCAGCAGTCCCAACCAGGGCAATGTGTAGCACAACCAGAGCCCAAATACAGCCATTTTCACCCCAGAACTGTGCTGGGACTGGGTTCAACTGGGAAAACCTCAGATCCGGAAACTCCTGGCTGCTCCGTTGGCAGCCACCGAGCTGGGAAATTGCAGGGCTGGGAGCAGGAGTGGTGGCGGCTGGAACAAGATGGAGTCCCGGGAGATCAAAGCAGGTGTTGCAGAAGACGGGCGGCACCTGGCACTGCCGAGAGCCCCGGGCGCCCCGGGATCCACGGCGGGTGCAGAGCTGGCAGCAGGAGCTCATGGCACCCCCAATCCCAGGGGTCACAGCCCCCAGGGGCGGGTTGGCTCATTCCTGATGTGGTGCCATTGGGGTCACCTCTCCTGCTGTCCCACTGCCGGGGGGGACCCCACACCATGCCCAGCCGGAGGGAAAGCTCATCTGAGCCCCAGCGCTGGGAAACAGATCCCAGGGAAGGAGGATTGGGATCGTCAGGGAGGCAGCCCCAGGAAGGAGCACCCACTTGGACTTGACAGCCCCCCATGATCCCCATGAGGGGGTGAGGACCCTTCTGGGGGTCACAGGGTGGGGGTGGGCGCCAGACACAGGCAGGGCTGACCCTGGGGATCCCACAGGAATCCACGTGAATATCCCATGGGAATAAAGACCCACGGGATACACAGGTCCCCCTGCATGGGGGGCAAACAAGGACACCAAAATGGGGTGAATTCAGTGTTAAAAGGGTCAGGGCAGGTGCTCAGGGTGGGGGGGATCCCGTGTTTTTGAGGGAAAACCATTTGGACTGGGGGTGTTGAACCCAGTAGCCCCCCAGCTGCAGCATCACCAATTCCTGAGGGTGGGAAGCAGGTGGGCTGCACCCCAGGGTATTCCTGCACCCATCCCTGCATCCATCCCCACCCTTCCTCCATCCCTCCCTCCCCAAGCCCTTGGGATCACAAATCCAGAACCACCCCTAAAGGGCCGGAACGTGCCCCAAAGCCCAACCAGGGTCCCAAAAACGAGACCACACCCCAAGCTACCCCCCCAGGCCCCATTCCTGGGGGTTCCCCAGCTCCGGGGGCACTGCACATCTCCCCCCAGTTAAAAAGGCAACACTGACTCCAAACGTGCTGGCTCTGGGGGTGCAGAGTCTCAGGGGCTGCGGGGGATCACAGGGAGGGGACAGGAGGAGGTTTGGGGTGCCGGGAGGAGAGGAGTGCAGGGGTGTGCGTGTGAAAGTACTGAGAGTTTGGGCGGCTCCTCCCGACGCTAATTACACAGTTAATTGCCCCAACAGGCCCCAGCTTGTCACTGCACCCCAAAACCCCACCCGGGTGGCAGCCAAGGGACCAAACCCCAATACGGGGCACAGATACCCCACTGTGGGGCAGAGACCCTCCCCAAAAACACCCTGGACACATCTGTGTGAGGAGGTGCCCACCTGAGCACCTGATTTTGGGGGTCCTCTCTGTGGAGAGGTGGGTTTTGGGGTGAAGGAGCCCGTTCAGGAGGTGGATCTCTGGAGGGCTGAGCTTGGGGGGGGTCCCCATAAAGACAGAGATGGGGGCTGAGGACTCCCTGATCCAGGAACACTTTGGGGGCAGGAAGTGTCTGTCTGAGCCCGCAGATTTTGGGGATCCCCTCCGTGGGGAGGTGGTGTTTGAGGAGAAGAAGCCCATTCGTGGATTTGGGGGGTCTGAGCTTGGATGGACCCTCAGGGGTGGAAATGGGGGTTCAGGTTCCCTAGCAGAAAAATCTGGGGGGGGCACAAACCCCCAAGTCCCCCGGGCCTGACCTCATCCTCAGACACAGGGGAGCCCCCCAGAGGGCAGGGTCCCCCACATTTCCTCCATCACCCCTCATGAGGCCCCAGAACCACCCCCAACGGTTCAGCACCCCCAAACCCCTCACCCCACTCCCCCCATCCCAAGAGGAACCCAGGTGATCCCAGAAGGAGCAGGGACCCCCCAAAGCTGCGAAACCCAAACCCTGAGCTCGACCCCAGACACCGGAGGACTCCCATGTCCCCCAGCATGCCTTGAAGGCCCCGAGAATGGGCCCTAAGGGACCCCAGGGTCCGGGTCCCCTCTCTCGGCTCCTTCTCAATGCCCTGAAAGGCTCAGGGACTCCCCCAAACCAAAGGGGGCGCCCCCAGGCAGGTGAGTCACGGCCCCACCCATGGGATGAGCTGGGTCAGGTCTCAGCCTGCCCCAACCCCCCCCCCCCCCCCGGCCTGGGGGGTCCCGAGGTCTCGGGCATGAAGCCCCAGGGTGGGTTCGGGGTCAAACCCTGCATGGGGAGGGATCCCCGAGATGTCCCCGTGCCTCAGTTTCCCTCCCCGGCCACCTCCAGCACCCACAGCTCCAGTGCTGGCAGGTTTGGGTGATGGGGGGGATCAAATCCCTCCCCAGGACCCTGTGGGTGCCCCGGGACCCCCGAGGGTCCCCCGCAGTGTCCCAGCGGGGAGGGGTGAGACCCCCTGCCCCAGAGACCCGCCCATGGTTGCCCCCTCCCTGGTTTGGGGTGCCCCCCCGTGGGGAAGGGGGCGAAGCGAGCAGGGGATGCTGGCACTGAGGGGGTCATGGGAGGGCTCCTCTCCCACCCCCCGAGTCCAGATGGCGCTGAGGGTGACACGGGGTGACATCCCGGGGGTCCCACCGAGCTGGAGGGCTCCAGCTCCCCCCCCCAAACAATCCCTGCCTCAGTTTCCCTGCAGGGTCCCCGTGACCCCCAGTTTCCAACCAGGAGGGGTCCGTGGGGCTCAACCCCCCCAGAACCACCCCCGAAGCCCCTGAGACCCCAGACCCCCGCTCGGCCGCACCCCCCCACACCCCCCCCATCTACTTCTAGACCATCGCAGACACCCCCAGACCCCCCCGACCCCCAGCTCCCCCCAGCCCGCCCGCAGCCCCGCAGCCCCCAACACCCAAACCCTTCCGGACACCCCTTAACCCACCCCCTGCCCCCCCCCGGCACCTCCAGATCCACCCCAGAGTCCCCCAGACCCTTCCTGACCCCCCCATAACCCATCAGACTCCCCCCTAACCTCATCTGCCCCCAGATCCAGCCCCTGGTACCAAACCCCCGCCCCCAAATTCTCCGTGCAGCCGGACCTGGGCGGGGACCCCCATTCCCAACGGGGACCCCCCATTCCCGACTCACCCCACCCGAAATTGGGGGGTCTCAACTCCCGGCTGCCCCAGCCCCGCCCGCGGCTCCATTCCCGCTCCTCTGCCGCCCTCCAGCGCCCGCGAACCCCAAAATCACCGGGCCGGGAGGGCCGGGGGAGCTCCGAGGGCTGCGGGGGAGACCTCGGGGGTCCCCAAACCAGCCCTCCCCCCCCAAAAATAACCGGACAAGGGGTCAGGGGGGCAGGACGGGGGTGCAGGGAGGTGACCCCAATTTAACCCCCCGGTTAAATTGGTTTTTTAAGGGGGGGGCGGTGTCAGCCCCCCCGCGAGCCGGCGCCCCCCGTCACCCCAAAGGCCCCCCAAAAGCTCAAGCCCGAATCCCAGGGACCCCGAGTGCCCGACCCTCGGACTCCCCAAATCTGAGGGGCTCGCGGTGGCTCTGAGGGAGCCCCCCCAGCTTGGGAGCAGCCCTCCCCTGCCCCCCAAATCGGGGAAGGGTCCCCAAAACCCCCGGGGTGCGAACTGGGGAGCCCTGAGGGCTCCGTGTGCTGCAGGACTGCAGCGCCTCCCCAGCTCCTTAATTAATTAGTGCTTAATTAATTAACCCTCTGCTGGCACTAATTACGGACACCAGGTGTCACCCCCCGGCCTGCGGATGGAACGCGGGGGGGGACACCCCAAAACCTGCAAGGCCGCCAGACCCTGTGGACACTCCCACCCCCCCAAGCCATGGAGGGACCCCCGAACCCTCCCTGCCTCCCTCCCGGGCCCCGAGGGCTTAATGATTAACGGGGGTGTCCCCCTTCCCCCCATGGCGACCCTCCAGGGCGGCTCCGAGCCCCCCAAAACGGCTCCGAGGCCCCCAAACCATGCCTCGTACCCCCAAATCTCCACCACACCAGCCCAAACAGCCCAGGGCACCCCCCCGACACCCCTGAACCAACTGGGGGGGCCCAGGACCCCCAAATGAGGCCGCTGCCCCCCCCCCTCCCCTGCTGCTCCAAAATGGGGGGGATCGGAGGGCAGCCAGGGGTTTTGGGGTGCGGTGGCACCCCGAGAGAAAAGGGCCCCACAGAGGCCCCCCGGAGGGACATGGGCACCCCAAAACAGACCCTGGTACCCCTGGATGAGCCCAGGAAGGGACCCAGGCACCCCAAAATGGATTCTGATGTCCCAGAAGGGGTCCTGACACCCCAAAACAAGCCCTGGCATTCCAAAACAGACCAAGGCACCCCAAAATGAGCTCTGAGGGCCCAGGGTAGGTGCTTGTACCCCCAAACTGACCCAAGTACCCATGAACTGGTTCTGGCACCCCAGAGGGTATCCAGGAACCCCAAAACAGACCCTGGCACCCCCTGAGGGAACTGGCCACCCCCAAAAAAACCCTGGCACTCCAAGATGGGTCCTGGAACCCCAGAAGGGACCATGGCCCCCCAAAACTGGGATGGGTTCTGAGATGCCAAAACCGTCCCAGGCAGCCCAGGATGGGTTGCCCTAAAACTGCTCTAGGCATCCAAGAAAGGACCCAGGCACCCCAAAACAGGGATTGCTATCCCAAAACAAGTCCTGGCACCCCTGGAAGGGTCCTGACGCCCCAGGAGGGACCCTCGTACCCCCAAACAGATATTGATAGCCCAGGACGGGTCCTGGCACCCCAAAGCACAGCCAGACATCCAAAAAGGGACCTGGGCACATTGGCACAGTCACAGACACCCCAGGAGGGACCCAGGTGCCCCAGGATGAGTCCTGGTACCCCAAAACAAACCCTGGCACCCACAAATGGGTTCTGGCCCCCCAACACAGACCCAGGCACTCCAAGATAGGTCCTGGCACCTGGGAGAGATCCAGGCAACCCCAAACAGGTATCGGCACCCTGGAATGGGTCCTGGCATCCCAAAACTCGTCCTGGCACCCCAGGATGGGGGCCGGGCACCCCAAGATTGGTCCTGGCAGCCACAGATGGGTCCTGGCACTCTAAAACAGATTCTAGGACCCCCAAACACACCCAGAGATCCCAAAACTGATCTGGCAACACCAAGACTCGTCCCAGTCTGCCAAGAAAGTCTTGGGAACCTCAAAACAACACCAGGCACCCCGAGATATGGATCCCACCCCACCCAGATTGATCTGAGCACCCCAATATCGTCCTGGCACCCCAAAACACCCCAGGCAGCCTGGGATGAGCCCTCCCCCACTCCCCTTCCCCCTCAATTATCAACACTCCCGAATTTCCAAGGTTTTATTCCAGCAGCAAGCAGAACACCCAGGGGAGGCCCAGACCTCCCAGTTTCCACCTCCCCGTCCAAGAGGGGACAATGGGGGGGTTGGAGCCCCCCGGGGGAGACTGGCACTGGCTCAGGTCGTCAGCAGAGGGTGCCTGGTGTCCTGTCGGGAGCTGGGGACCCCCGGGAAGGGGGCCAGGATGGAGGGGGGACACACCAAGGGCGGGGATCAGCAGATCAGGACATGGGGGACCCCCACAGGAACCGGGGGGACCCCCCAGGAAGGGAATGGGCTCAGCTGGCCTGAACAAGGGGGATGCCCCACCAAAGATCCCCCCAGGACATGGACAGGACCCCCAGGAAAGGGGACTCAGCCTGGACTTGGGGGCACCCCCCGGGCAGGAAAGAGGGGACCTGGGGGAGGGCTCAGAATGTCAGGACATGGGGGACCCTCCCCCCCACCTCAGAAAAGGGGGTTCAGCTTGGGAGGATATGGGGGAACACCCTGAGAAGGGGAAGCCCAGGGGTCTCAGCTGGGCTGGACATGAGAGACCCCCAGGAAAGGGGGAGGGCTCAGCTGGGCTGGACATGGGGACCCCCTCTCGGGAAAGGGGGTTTGCTTGGCCAGGACTTAGGGGGACACCCTGGGGGGGGCAGGGAACATGGAGGAGCCCCCTGGGAAAGGGGGGGTTTGGTTTGTGTGGGCATGGGGGACAGCCCAGAAAGTGGGGCCCAGGGCGGGGTCAGCAGGTCAGGATTTAGGGTTTGCTCAGGAAAGAGGGGGGCTCAGCTCAGCCAGCCAAGCCAAGGCCTAGGGGTCCCCCAGGAAAGGGGGTTCAGCTTTCCAGGATGTCGGAGGACTCAGACACGAGCTTCCCATCGCGAGTCTCAATCTTCTTGATGACGATGGCCCGGGATTTGAGGGGGGCCGTGCTCTCGGGGGGTGGGGGCGGCACCGAGTACCCTGAGCTGACCACGGCCCCCCCAAACGCCCCCCCAAATCCCCCCCCAAAACCTCCCCCGAGTCCACCTGTGGGGAAGAGGGAGCAGCTGTGAGGAGGGGCACGGGGGGGCACCCAAAATCGGGGGGTTCTGGGGACCCCCCCAAACTCACCCAGGTACCCTGAAGGCTTGGTGTGGATGCTCAGGTTCTGCACAGCAGCCTCCAGCCTGGGGGATCCGCCAGATAGGATCAGTGATGGGGTGGGGGAAAAAGGACATGGCCTGGGGGGAAATCTGGGGGGGGGGGGGGTGGGTCCCCCAGACTGAGTGGTTTTTGTGGGAATCCATAAAATCTTGTCATAGCAGCCCCATCCCATTTGTGTCTGTATATAAACTGCCGGCGCACAGTTTTGGGGGGAGAGGAATAAGGGACATGGTCAAGAGGGGGGAATTTGGGACGTTCATGGGATGTGAGACATGGGACATGCAATGTCCATGGGACATGAGATACCCACAGGGTATGGGATGTGGGACATGGGATGTCCATGGGACATGGGATGACCACAGGGTACGGGATGTGAGATATGGGATGTCCATGGGATATGGGATATGGAACGTGGGATGCCCTGGAATATGGGATCCTCACAGGATATGGGACATGGAGTACAGAATGTTCATGGTATCCAGGATGAAGGGCATGGTAAAGGGGATGCCCATGGGATTTGGGATGGAGCATGGGACACCAGGTGTGAGATATGAATGCCCAGAGGTTATGGGATGTGGGATGCAGTGGGTTATGGGATGTGGGATGCCCATGGGATCTGGGATTTGGGACTGGGGCTTCCCACCTGCTCTCCTCGCCCTCCAGCAGCTTCCTGTAGGTCGCAATCTCGATGTCCAGGGCCAGTTTGACGTTCATGAGCTCCTGGTACTCCCGGAGCTGCCGGGCCAGGTCCTGCTTGGCCTGGGCCAGGGCCCCCTCCAGGTCAGCCAGCTTGGCCCGGGCGTCCCTCAGTGCCAGCTCCCCACGCTCCTCAGCCTCGGCCACGGCCGCCTCCAGCCCAAAGCGCTGTGGGACAGGACACTGAGCCCAGCATCCCCCCCGACCAGTGTCCCCATCACCCAAAATCCCCAGTATCCCAATGTCCCTCATCCCCTCAGTGTCCCCATGTCCAAGTACACCCAGTGTCCTAGTATTCCATGTCCTGTCATCCTCTGTGGTCCAGTGTCCCTGTGTCCCAGTATTCCTCACCCCCCAGAATCCCTCATATCCCACTATGCCTCACCCCCCTTTTCCCACCAGTATTCCCAGCCCCCCAAAATCCCCCACGTCTCTGAGCCATCGCTCTCTCCTCCCGTTTCCCGGATGACATGCCAAGGGATCCTCAGGAATCCAGTGTGGGAGTTCCCTGGGGGCGCTGGGGGATGTGTGGGGGAGGGGCAGGCCGTGTGCTTCCAAATTTCCATCCGAGTTGGACCCCAGACCTGGTTTTTCAGAGCTTCAATCTCTGCCTGGATCCGCTGGATGCGCCGGTTCAGCTCCTGGATCTGGCTGCGAGTCTGGCGCAGGTCGTCCCCCTGCTTCCCAGCTGCTGTCTTCAGCTCCTCGTACTGGAGACATCAGACAGGGGTGGCAATGTGGGGCATCCCCCAAACCCACCAGTGCCCCAAAACTGGTAGGAAAAAGCTGGGATGTGGCCAAACTTGGAGGGATAGTCCAGGGTGGGATGCGGTAGGTCTGGCTGGGTTTGGGGCTGGGATCTTGGAGGGATGGAGATGGGGGACCCCCCTTTTTCACCAGCACCCCAAAAAACTGGGATGGAAGAGCTGGGATGCAGTGGAGGCAGAAGGGATGCCCTGACAGGGATGTGGTAGCTCCAGTTGGAATTTGGGGGGTCCAGCTGGGTTTGGAACCGGGATCCTGGGGGAATGGAGATTGGAGGGACCCTTTTTTTCCCCCAGCACCCCAAAATTTGGGAAGAGCTGGGATTTGCCTGTATCAAGAAGGATGTTCCAACTGGGATCTGGGATCTCAGGGGATGGAGATGAGGGGACCCCTCTCTTCCCCTGCACACCAAAACCAGGGTGGAGAGAGCTGGGATGTGGCCATGCCAGGAGGGATGCTCCAGCTGGGATGCCATGGGTCCGATTTGGAGTCAGGGTCTTGGTGGGATGGGGAGGGGGGAGCCTAATTTTTCTACCAGCACCCCAAAAATTCAGCGGAAAGAGCCAGGATGCAGCGCTGCTAGGAGGGCTGATCCAGCTGGGATATGGCAGCTCTCATTGGGATGTGGTGGGTCTGGCTGGGCTTGAATCTGGGATCCCAGTGGGATGAGCCCTCCCCACTTTCCACCAGCATCCCAAAACGGAGGATGAAAGAGCCTGGGAAGTTCTGGCACTGGGATCTGCACCAGGAATGGAGATGGGGCCCCTCCCTGCCCTGTGGCTCCCCAGGACTGGGATGATGCCAGGGGGAACACTTCAGGCTGGATGTGGCAGCTCCGGTTGGGTCTCAAGCCAGAATTTCTCCCACGCAGCAGCTGCTTCCTCCAGGGCAGGGAGGAAGATGAGGAGGATGAGGAGGAGGAAGAGGAGGAGGAGAAGGAGGATTTGGGGAAGGGAGGAGGAGGAAGATGCAGCAAGGAGGAAGAGGAAGGTTCAGGGAGCAGGGAGGAGGTGACAAGGAGGAAGAAGGATTGAGGAACGGGGAGGAGGAGGAGGACGGGGCAGGGAGGGAGGAGGATGAAGGCTTGGGAACTAGGAGTAGTATCAGGGAGCAAGGAAGAGGATGAAGACTTGAGAAGCAGGGAGGAGGAGGAGGAAAAAAGCTCAGGGCAGGGAGGAGAAGTAGGAATAAGAGAGGATGGGGCAGGGAGGCGGATGAAGGCTCAGGGTGTGGAAGAGGAGGAGGAAGTTTTAGGGAGCAGGAAGGAGGAGGAAGTGTCAGGGGGAGGTAGAAGAGGAGGAAGGATTAGGGAGAAAAGAGGAGGAAGATGAAGGTTTGGGGAGCAGGCGGAGAGGAGGAGGATTAGTGGGTAAGCAAGGAGGAAGAAGGTTTGGGGAACAAGGAAGAGGAGGAAGAGGAGGAGGAGGAGGAAGATAAAGGCTTGGGCAGCAGCAGCGGGTGCTGTCCTGACCTTGACCTGGTAGAGGCCTTCAGCCTCAGCGCGGCTGCGGCCGGCGATGTCCTCGTACTGCGCCCGCACGTCCGCCAGGACCCCGGCCATGTCCAGCTGGCGGCTGTTGTCCATGGACACCACCACGGCCGTGTCCGACACCTGCACCCGCAGCTCCTGCAGCTCCTGCACACACAGGGGGTGCCTTTAGCAGGGGGGCACCTCCTGAATCCAGGCACCCCAAATCCCAGGCACCCCCAAACCTCCTCATAGAGCTGCCGCAGGAAGTTTATCTCGTCCGTGAGGCTCTCCAGGCGGGATTCCAGCTCCACCTTGGACATGTAGGCTTCATCCACGTCCTGCAGGAACACCCCTGTCACCCCCTGTTCCCAGCACCCCAGGGACCCCCACAGCAACCCCTTGGTCTCAGGGACTCCCCCTATGTCGGGGTCCCCCCTCAGTGTCGGGGTTCCCCCACCTTTTTGAGCAGGACAAACTCGTTCTCCTTCTCCGTGCGGTGGTTGATCTCCTCCTCATACCTGGGCAGGGGGACACAAGGATGGGGGGGGACAGGGGCACATGGAGAAATGGGAATGGGGGACATGGGGAACATGGGATATGGGAATGGGGGACATGGGGACAGGGATATGGAGACAGTAGGGAGGGGACATGGTGACAGGGGGGACATGGGTCTATGGGGACATTGGGACAGGGAGGGATACGAGGATGGGAGGACATGGGAACATGGGGACACAAGGGGATGGGAGGACATGGGGAGGTGGGGACAGGGGGACAAAGGGACAAGGCAATGGGAGGATGTGGGGACCTAGCTTACACCAGGGATGTGGGGACATGAGGATACAGGGAGACCCAGGGACACGGTGGGGACATCGAAGGCCATGGGGACAGGGGGACACGGGGATGAAGGGACATGGGGGTGAGGGCACACAGGGTGGGGACACAGGCATATGTGGGGGAACACTCGGGGACACAGACGTGCCCTTGAATTCCTCCAGGAGGCTGCGGGCGTGGCGTGGGTGGCATCAGCAGGCACAAGGTGGCATTGGGGGGCTACAAGGTGGCATTGGGGGGCTACAAGGTGGCACTGGGGGGTTGTGGAGGGATCTGGGGAGACATGGGGGTACCCGGGAGATTTAGGGGACATTTGGGGACACTGACTTGGCCTTGAACTCCTCGACCAGCCCGCGGACGTGGCCGAGCTCTGCGCGCAGCCGCTGCCGCTCCTGCCCGAGCGCCTCCAGCTGCCGCCGCAGGGTCCCCGCGTAGCCCTCGAGGAGCCCCCCCAGGCTGCTGCGGGGAGGGGGCTGTGCCCGCAGGAGCCCCCATTTGGTCTCCAGGAGTTTGTTCTGCTGCTCCAGGAACCGCACCTGCGGACAGGGAACAGCACCCCAAAACCAGCCAAAATCACCCCAAAATCACACCTGGGGGAAAGCAGGATCAGGGGCACTCCCATACCTCAAAATCACCCCAAATCACCTCCACCCCAAAATCACACCTGGAGGAAAGGGGGTCAGAAGCAATGCCACTCCCCAGAATCACCTCAAAATCACTCGACATCCCAAAATTACCCCAAAATCACCCCTGCACCCCAAAATCCCACTTGGGCGAAAGCAGGATCTGGGGCACTCCCATACCTCAAAATCAGCCCAAAAACACCTCCACCCCCAATTCATACCTGGGGGGAAAGGGGGAAAAGGGAATCAGAACCCCAAAACTACCCCCAAATCACCTCTGGGGGAATGGGTTGGGCTGGAGAGGGGCATGGAGTGGAAGGGGGGGGGGGGCAGGGGGAAGATTTGGGGTCCTGGGGCAAGCTGGAGTCTGTGTGTCCTTGGGTAACCCAGGAGGGGGTTCAGAGTGTCCCCAAAAGGGGGTGTCACTGTCTCTGAGGGTCTCAGAAAGTCCCCAAAGGTGCTCAGGAGGTCCCAGCTGATCCAGAGGGTCCCTGAAGGGCACCCAGAAGGGCTTCTCAGTGTCCCCAGGGGTCTCAGGAGGGCCCCAAAGGTGCTTGGGATGTCCCATCTGAGACTCAGGGGGTCCCAGAGAAGGTCTCAAGTCCCCAAGGGTACAGAAGTCCCCAGAGATGTTCAGGAGGTCCCAGGGTGGTCTCAATGTCCCCAGGTGTCCCAAGACGTCCCAGGTGCCCCAGGAGGTCCCAGAAGCCAGTCCCCAGAGTGGCCCCACCCCTCCTCGGGGTCCCTCCAGCCCCACCTTGTCGATGAAGGCAGCGAATTTATCGTTGAGGGTCTTGATCTGCTCCTTCTCCTCCCGGCGCAGCTCCTGCAGCTCGGGATCCACGGCCACGTCCAGCGGCGCCAGGAGACTCCGGTTGATGGTGACGGCCGTGATCCCCGCGCCCGGCACCCACGAGGGTCCCCCGAGCCCCCCGGAGCCGCCCCGGAGCCCCCCGTAAGGGCCGAGGGCCGGGGCCGTGCTCATCCTCAGCGCCGGAGCGGCCGTGAAGGAGCGGGATGAGAAGGAGCGGCCCGGAACGGCCGAGCTGCTCCGCAGCGGCTCCCGGGGGATGGAGACCGACATCTGAGAGGGGAGAGTGGGAACAGAGGCTGCAGAGAGCCTGCCAAGTGCTGGGGAGGTGCGAAAGGAGGGCGGCTGGAGGATGAGGAAGCTGGAGAAGATTGGGAGGAGGTTGGAAGTTGGGAAAGGAGATACGAGGGAGTTTGGAAAGAGGTTGGAAAGTGGATGAAGAAGGTCGGGGATGGTTGGAAGAGGGTTGGAGGAGGCTGAGGGGGATGAGGAGGCTGCAGGGAGGATGGAGAAGGTTAGAAGGAGGATGAGGAGATTGGTGCAAGTTTGGAAGAGGGTTGGAGAAGGTCCTCAGCTGAGCAGGACGAGGACGACTGGAGGAGGCTTAGGACGGCTGGAAGAGGCTGAAGAGGCTCAGGATGATGAGGACGGCTGGAGCAGGTTGGAGAAGGCTGAGGAGGGGAAGGCCGAAGGCCGCGCTCGGGGCAGGGAGGCTCCGGCGGCAGCCCCGGCAGGACCGGCCGGACGGGTCGGGGCAGGACGGGCCCGGCCGGGCGGAGCGGCCGGGCGGGTTCCGGGCGCCTTCCCGGTTTGGTTCCCGGGTTGGTTCTCGGGTTTATCCCAGAGCCGGGGGAGGAGAAGCGGGGGGAGGGACCGGAGCTTTAACCCCTTCGGGACGTGGGATTGGCGGGATCACCGGGATCCACAGGCATAGGGACGGGAGGGTACGCGGGGGTGGGCTTACCCCAAAATGCGGGTCCCTGTGCTCCCCGTCCCCCTCCGCGCCCCCTCCTGAAGGAGGAGACCCACCAACACTCCCTAGGGAGTGTCCCCAGCCCTTCCCCACCGTGTCCCCACACCTGAGTCTCCTAATCTGAGTCCCTGACTCCATGTCACCAAGTCCTGTCACCCAGTTTGGGCCCCCGACCCCAGTCCAGATCCCCCCAGTCTCAGCCCCCAACCCCTGACCCAAGCCCATGTCCCCAGCTTGTCCCCCAGTCTGGGTCTCCAGACCACTGTCACCACCCTGTGTCCCCCAGTCTGCGTCCCCAGCACCACATCCCCAGTCTGTGACCCCAAACTATTCCCACAACCCCTGACCCCAGCCCCTGTCCCCAAATCACAACATGGGACTCCAGTCACATCACTCCAAATCTAGCCCCAGACCTGTCCCCAGGCCTCACCAGAGCCTGTCCCCAGTGCCAAACTCAGCAGCAAAATAGGAAAAACATCCCCAAAATGGCATGGGATGGATGGATGGATAGATGGATGGATGGATGGATGGATGGATGGATGGATGGATGGATGGATGGATGGATGGATGGATGGATGTGAGTTCAGGTGAGTTCAGGTGTGTGCAGGTGGGTCTGGCAGGTGCCATTGTGTGCAGTGGTGTCTCCTGCCCAGACTTGCCCGGCACGAGGGCGGCACACGCTGGGCACTGGGAGGGCGCCACCCACGGGTTTGGGATCCGCAGCTGGGATCTAGAGGGAGCTTCCTTCCTTCCTTCCTTCATTCCTTCCTTCCTTCCGCCACTTCCGCCACTTCCGCCACTTCCGCCACTTCCGCCACTTCCGCCACTTCCGCCACCTCCTTCCGCCACCTCCTTCCTTCCGCCACCTCCTTCCTTCCGCCACTTCCGCCACTTCCTTCCTTCCGCCACTTCCTTCCTTCTGCCACTTCCTTCCTCCTTCCCTTCTTTCCCTTCCTCCCTTCTTTCCCTTCCCTCCCAAATCCATCCAGATTCCACCCGGGGGGGTCAATGGGTCTGAGCAGCCCAGCCCTACAGGGAGGGTCTCAAGCCCCCCCAGACCTGCGACGCCCAGGAGGGAACACGATCTGCTCCCCCCTCTGCCCCCCCAGGGGCTCCCACCACCTCCAGCTCCCTCCCTAAATCCCGCCCGTCTTATCAGGAAGGAATTTCCAGAGATAACCCTGGAAGGGGGGGTAGGGTAGGTCCCAGACCCTGCAGGACACTGCCCCAGACCCCCAAGACCACCCAAGGAGCAGTGGGGACCCCCTAAGCCCTTGACGGCCCCAGCTGAGCCCCCCCTCGCCATCAGATGGGGACACTGAGGCACGGAGGGACACGGGGGGAACACGGGGTGGCCGTGAGGTGACAGGGGGATGGGGGACGTGATGGGCATGGGGAGGACTCAGGGGGACACAGGAGGACACGAGGAGTGGACACTGGGGGATAGCGGGTGACACGCAAGGGACACACTGGGGGGATGTGTGGGGACACCGGGGGCTCACAGGGACATGGGGGACATTTGGGGCAAGTGGGAGGGGGAACACGGCGGGGCGGGGGGACACGGGTGGGACACGTCACCCACCCGGAACGCCCGGAATGTTCCTGATAAGGCCCAGGGTGGGAGCAGCCCCGACACCCCCGCCCCTCCCCCATGCCCTTCAGGGGGTCCCAGGGGGTCCCCAAAGAGGGACGAGGCCACTGCACCCTGGGCGGGACCCCCTGGGACCCTCGGGTCCGGCACCTCAGGGACCCCGCGGGGAAAATGGAGAAAAAAGAAGGGAAACGGGGCAAAAAGGGGGAGAAGGGGGAGACGGGGCAGAACAGGATAAAATTGAGCATAAGTGGGGGAAAATGGGGAAAAATTGGGCAGGAATGGGGCAAAACAAAGGGAATGGAAGGGAAGGAATGGGGCAAAGCGGAGAAAAACATGGGTGAAAAGGGAAATTGGAGAAAAAGGGGAAGGACAAAATGGGCAGAAACAGCAAAAAAAAAGGGGGATGGAAACCAGCAAAACTGGACAGAGATGGGGCAAAATCGGGCAACAAGGGATAAATGGGACATGAATGGGATAAAAACAGGGCAAGATCAGGCAAAAAGGGTTAAAGTGGGACTAGAATGGGATAAAATGACAAAATAGGGCAAAAACTAGTAAAATGGGACAGGAATGGGGTAAGACAGCAAAATGAGGCAAAACAGCAAAATGGGAAGATTTTGCATAAATGGAGTAAAATGAAGCAAAAAGACAGGAATGGAGGAAATGGGGAAAATGAGAAATGGGCAAAAATAGGACAAAAGAGATAAAGCAAGGCAGGGATGGCTCAAAAGTGGGCAAAAATGAGTAAACGGGATATGAACAGGCTAAAATAGGACAAAATGGGGCAAAATGGGGAAAACAGAGCAGAACAGGCCAGGAATAGGGTAAAACAGGGCGTCTCAGTCAGGCAGGGGCTGCAGCAGTGCAAAGATTAGTAGGGTGATGTGGGGCTGGCTATGGTGACCTGAAAAGGTGTGGGGCTGACCCTGCCCCACATCCCACAGTTCTGGGGCCGAGTCCTATTCCTTCGTTCCCCACCCCACAGTTATGGGGTCGATGCCATCATTCTGAACACACATCACAAATCCTGGGTCAGATACCCATCCCTCCAACCCTCATCCTACAAGTTCTGGGGCTGATTCCTTTCCCTCTGTCCCCTACCCCACAGTTCTGGGTCATACCCCTTTCCACCCACCCTGCACCCCACAAGTTTTGGGGTTGATTCCCTTTCCCTTGCCCTGCATTTCCCATTTCTGGGTCAGACTCCCAAACCTCTGCCTCACATCCCACGAGTTTTGGGGCTGATTATTTTCCCTCACACCCCACTCCTCAGGTTTTGGGGCCGGTCTCCGCAGGAACAAAGCCCTGGGCCGGCTCCAGCCGCACCTTCCCTTCCCGGGAGCGAGGCCGTGGGGAGGTGCCGTGGGGCCGCTCCCGGCTATAAATCCCGGCCAGAATTCCCGCCCGGAATTCCATCCGTGCGTCCGTCCGTGCTACTCTCGGGCTCCCGCCGTCGTGCCGCCGTCCCCATGAGCTTCTCCCGCCGCACCGTCTATTCCAGCTCCGTCCGCTCCGGCGGGATCGGGACCCTCGGGACCCCCGGGATCGCCCCCGGCCGCCGCTTCGCCCCCCTGGGCAGCGCCGCGAGCGTGTACGCGGGGGCGGGGGGCGCGGGGTCCCGGATCTCCGTCACCCGCACCCTGAGCAGCGCCGGGGGCGCCTTTGGGGCCGGTTATGGGGCCGGTTATGGGGCCGGCCTGGGGGGCAGCCTCCTCCTGGGGGGCTCCGGGACCGTGGCCAACGAGAAGGAGGCGATGCAGGACCTCAACGACCGCCTGGCCACGTACCTGGAGCAGGTGCGGAGACTGGAGCGGGAGAACCGGCGCCTGGAGACCCAAATCCGGGAGTTTATGGCCCAAAAGGGACCCAGCGCCCACGACTGGAGCCCCCAGTGGGAGCTGATAGAGGAGCTACGGGACAAGGTGGGCGCGCGGGGGGGTTGGGGTTAAACATTAACTGGGGAGGGAGAGGGAAAGAGCTGAACTTTGTATCTGTGGAAGGTCTGTACGTCCCTGGGAGGGCGTAGGGGGGCTTGGGGAGGTCTGTAAGTCCCGTGGGTGGGGGGCTCGGGGGGGGGGGGGGGGTCTCCCCACGGGGGGAGCGAAGGACGTGACCAAGGCCACCGTGGTGGGGCAATGTCGAAGGAGTCCCCCCTCCATTCTTACTCCGATTTTTGGGTAAATTAGACCCCCCCGGTGTCCCCAAAGCCCCTCCTGGAGCCTCCTCAAGGTGACCGGCACCCCTCCCCCCCCACACACACCTAGGCGCCCCCGCCCCGCCCCCACCCTGGGCTATCGCAGCTTTTCCGGGGCGAGGCCCTGCAGGGAAGGGGGGCCGGGGAAGTCACCCTGCCACAGCGACGGTGACACGTGTCCCTGTGTCCCTGCGTCCCTGTGAGTGTCCCTGTGTCTGCGTGTCCATGTGTCCATACCCTCCATATCCATGTGTTCACCTGTGTCTGTGTCTCCATGTCTGTGTGTGTCCACCTGTGTCCCCTCATGTCCGTGTGTCCCTCCACACGTCCCCCATCTGTGCACCCCCATGTCCACATGTCCCCCTGTCTGTGTCTCCCCATGCCCCTCCCCATGAGTCCCCATTTCCCCGTGTCCACTCGTGTCCGTGTCCCCATGCCCATGTGTCCATCTGTCCCTGCATGCCCGTGTGCCCCCATGTCCGTGTGTCCCCTGTATCCACGGGTGTCCTCGT